AATCACATGTTTAAAGGGATATATGCAGCTCTACTGTTTTCCAGGCATTCCTATTATGCAATGGTTATCTAATCTCACTGTGTGCCAGTCAGTTATAGCCTCAGGACATTTCGAAGCTGCTGCATAAAAAGAGGAACATCCTTTGGTTTCAATGCACGTCCTAGATATAGAATTTCAACACAATATACAATGAAGTGCTAAAAACTCCTGCTAACCCAACAGCCCAGGCAATGTTTTAGGAAACTATATATACTGACTCCACAAAAATGCCACATAATGGTTTAGAAATAAAATTCTACATTTTGTGGTTGTCAGATTCAGCTCATACATGCAAAACTCATATAGCACATAAGTAATTTCTAATACCATGAACTCCATGGAAAATACCTAAGATTCTTCATTCATTTCAACAATTTCCACACTATCCAGATTAATTACTTGAAATGATATCCTGCTCAGAAAGATAGTAATACAACGTAGCAGCCCCCCTCGACAATGAGCACTTCAAACTACACAATTAAAATGGAGACATCAATAGAAAACCAAAAGAAATTAGTATTTAATTTGCAGCTAGATGAAAAGGACCTTCCTCTGGAAGGCAGGAGTTCACAGCATCAAGACTTTGTAGGGACCCTTCAGAGCTAAAATCAGTTTCAAATGTACATGCTAAGAACAACTGGGAAGCTTTCTAGTATATGTCTTCTTAAAGCTGGGATTTAGCATCCCACATGCTATGCCTTCTACCATTAGCCTAGCAACATGGGGATTTCTGAACAACCTTCTTCTCATAGGATATGAACATTATTTCTTCTGTATTGGATCAAGGCAGGAAAAAATCTGTGTGACTGTCCTTATAGCTCCTAAAAGCAAAATTGCTTGTGCATGGAAAGAAACGTGACACCAACCACAAGAAAAAATAGTAGAAGGGGTTAGCCCCTTGGATATCAAAGTAAATACTGACATGATTACAGATTAGGCAGGATTAGACATTGCTAAACTGATACCATAGTGAACTGCAGCCATTTGCATCATTGAATAAAGGTTGCTCTAGAAATAGACTGAGGAATGGCATCTTCTAGTACTGCCACACCAAACTCTTAAGCCTTTTGCCCTGACTGTGCAAGCTGTGACTTTAAATGTCTGAATGCTCTGGGCACTATAGGTGGACAGTCCCGTTGTACCACAGGCTGAACAAAGATGATAGCCACCTAAAGGAATGATGAAGAATGGCTATGTTTTATACCTGATCACTCTTGAGATCTCAGGTGACTCCCTGAATCAGACATCTAAAACAAAGTAAGAGTTCATTTCAACTTCATATAGGTATAGATGAGTACATCTGGAGACAGAAGACTTGTTTTTTTAGCTTGCTGAAGGGGAGAGGAGTCCTAATCAGCAACTTAGAGAATCATTATCCAATCAGTTCTTTCTTTCTGGCCCCCAAAACCATGCACTGTATGAGGTACTGTATATCCAGCTCTCCCCAGACAGCTGTGGAAGGTTCCAGACAAGTCCTCCCTACAGCCTCTTGGTCGGGCAGCCTTCTGGAAAACAAAAGGTGCAGGATCTAATTGCTGTGGTCTGAATAAGCCAGTGAACCCACTCAGGTATCAACCTTTTGGACTGGGTGGCAGCACCCTTTCCACCTCTGTTTTTGAAGAAAATTTTGTTCAGATTTAGGATGCTTAATTTGCAAGTACAGATTAGGATAAACTATTGGGACATCCAGCTCAGCCAAGAAGGTAGATGTTCTGGGCACAGATAATAGAACATAGAATCATAGAATGGTTTGGGCTAGAAAGGACCTTAAGATCATTCAGTTCCAACCCATGGGCAGGGACACCTTGCGCTAGGCCAGGTTGCTCCAAGCACCATTTAACCTGGCCTTGAACATGAAAGTACTCAGGGAATTTCAGTTGGGTACCATTGAGTTTCACATTCCCACTAGCACAGGAAGGTTTTGTAAAGAGCACTCTTAAGTGATCTTACAAATTATTAGGTGCCCTCTTTAGCATATTCTATATTCATCACTTGTTATGCACTATTGCAGTACTGTGGCTCTATTGCTGAAGCAATAAAGGGCACAGCAAAACAATTGCTTATCATTAATATCTCTCAGTTTTATATTTATTTTGACATTTCTCTCCCTTTCACCCCACTTTTCTGGTGAGCAAGATTAGTTGCTCCTCAGCACAGTGACCACACACAGTATTAATCCAATTGGTCTGGAATGAAATGGCCATGAGACTGCAAAAATCTGACATCAAAATCCTTCTCAGTTCAGTGACAATTCAGTGATGATAAAATGGATGTTCAAGAGCTCTCTTGTTGATAGGATTATAACTTATTGTGGAACTTTCAGCTAAAACTCATTTCAGAGTTCTGACAAACTAAGGTCGTTCAAAACTTTTAATGGAGAAACGTCACTGAGTGACTTGCCATAAAGATTAAGGGAGTTTAACTTGTCTGACACACTGAAGCCATGAAGGTGAAAAGTTTGGTTCCAATTATGAATTGCATTGTTCTGAATCCACTTCCTATAGCTTATGTTGAAACAGTCCTTGTATTACAAGTTACAAACATAAACATGGTTAAAGTAATAGATATTTGTGGCGACAGAAGATTCCAGTGGTTTCAGATCTTTATTTCCATTCTAGATAATGGACTGCAACAACCTTCCTACATAAGGATATCTAACTCCTTTGTCAAAAATCAGAACACCTACCAGTTACTTCAGATTGCAAAGCCAAGCCCTATTCTTACTGAAATCAATACAGAATGATCTATGAATTTAATGGAACAGTGTACAGCTCTCTCAAAACTAGTCAGTACTGTGCTTTGCAAATAACGTTATTACCTATGACTGATAGCAAACCACTAAATTAAAGCTTCAGCTTTTATTTATCTGTCTCATCTGTATTTTGCCTGGAAATATCTTCCAAAATAGTCTCAATTCTTTAAGAAACTTTGTTATAAACTACTTTATTAGAAATTAGAAGCATGTAACTTCTGAACTAATAATTTCCTAACTCTTGTGTAAGAAGTTTCTCTCCTTTTCTCCCTCCGCCTCAGACAACCCCTTTTTCCTTGGGTCTTGGTGTCCTCTAGCGGCGAAGGGTTATGACATGTAAAGCTATGGGAGCATTTAAAAGCATTTAAAAGTCCTCTCCTTCCTTACAATATTCATCATCTCTGCTCCAGGGAATTTCAGAACTCTCAGTAAACAGATTTTTGAAAAAAGCTGATAATCTTAGCTTGACAGCCTGTAATAAGTTTACTGAGTAAAACAACAGTGAGTTCAGTAGCTATTTGAACTCAGAACTATGCCCCAAGGTTGAATTTGTCAGGCAGTTTACAATTAACCACCTGTATGTTGTATTATTTTTAGCTTGAAAGCGAAAAGCAGATGCATTAGAGACTCTCATAAACGTGCCTACAGAGTTTAGATGGGATTTTCAGCACATATCTACAGACTTTGCAGTCCTATTTCTAAAACATAAGTTTATGACAAAGTCTTGCTTTTGAATGTGAATTTCCAACTTTTTGAGCTAATGATGAACTGTAATGAGTTTCTTAGTTACTCTGTCTCCTGTACTCACTCACAACACCTCAAATTACTCAAACCCCAGTTGCACAATTTCACATCAGGTCACGGAAAGACTGTGCAAGGTGTAAGCCAGTCATAATGATGGATATTGCTCCAGCCATGCTGGGTCACATGAAAAAGGAAAGAAGATCTCTACCTGCCCACCATCTAGCAGACAACCCCTCAGCTCCAGAAGCACATCAGTCATAGTGGCTGGTAATCATGGAACTGCTGCTGCTTAGCATGAAGGTCTCAGAGAAGGACAGAGGCAGATGCCTGTCATGAATGAAATGCAGGCGTTAACAGGGCAGAGACAACAAAGTAATTGTCATGCTCAAAGCTAAGATCTATCAGGTTCGGGCTTCTCTGGAACAGCAAGAGTACCAGATTCAAAACAGATCATCTCAATTGAAAAATTCCCTGACTTCATTGTGGTTTACATCAGGTCTCATGTGATATAAAAGAAAGAAGGTGAGTAAGTAGATCAGTCATTTGGCTTATTCAGGCTTGCACTTCCTGCACAGGGTTGACTACTGGTGATAGCCAGCAAATTAATAAAGAACAGCCCAATAGCAGGCAACATTTTAGATCAAAGTTTTCATTTTCCAACCTGGCCTTGAACACTGCCAGGGATGGTGCAGCCACAGCTTCTCTGGGCATTCTGTGCCAGCGCCTCAGCACCCTCACAGGGAAGAATTCCTTCCTAAGACGTAATCTAAATATACCCTCTTTCAGCTTAAAGCCATCATCCCTTGTCCTATCACTAGATGCCCTTGCAAAAAATACATATAATCCAGGACAAAAACTAATCTTTTAAAAATTACCATACTGCATCTTGTCACTGTCCTCTGTAGAACTCTCTTAATCATGTTCCATCAGACACAGATATTTTTGAATAATGAATGAGATCATAAAAAATTATCAACTTGATTCAGTGCAGGCACAAACAATTTAATAGTGATTTATGAAGGGCTCCTAACATACTTTGCATATGCCTGTGGTATATATACACCTTTTATATATATATATATACAGTATATATACAAGGTTATACATAAGGTATGCATAAATATATAAGTGGTTTATATATCTTATATACAAGATATATAAGTAACTCCAGCATCTGAGCTAACAAAAAGGATGTTATGTAGAAGTTGGGTCAGCTGCCTTTCATTCATCTTCTGCTTTCAGGTCATAATCAACATTCATTCTAATCATAGCAAGTGTTATTTTTAATGGGTAGTCAATCTGCAGCAACCTTTTATCTTCAAACCTTCCTCAGTTTCCTCTCATCTTGTTGCATCCTGATCTTGCATAGTAAATTTTACAGGAATACATATCAGATACACTGTTACATAAAATGAACACCTGCTGACTTGGAACTGAACCTAATAATGCATGTTAAAACACCAACCTTCTTTCAGAGGGCCAGTTCCTGCAGTTGTACTTTTCTCAATGGGACAGATCCTTAGATTTTGTTCATTGACAGTCACCAGCAACTCCTAAAATTAAATGAAATCAAGAGTAAGAATCTTCAACAATAAAACATGTAGTAATACAATAGATACATCAAAGACAAAGGCAATACCACTACAGATGCCACATAAATGGTTTTAAACTGTAGCCCAGCAGATTTTAAGAACATTGGCGGAGTAGTTGTTCCATTGCAGATCAGGAGTACAGACTGCATGCTGACCCCAGAGGGGTAGGTAGAAGAGTAAATTTGTCAGAGGACCAGCCAATGTACTGTATTCCTCATTATGTGGATTCAGGGATGGAAAGTAGTCGGGTTCTGTTACAGCTGAAGTCAGGAAGGACCTTTAAAAAATACAGGTTCTCATTTGACAAATAGACAATGCTCAGCAGTAAAACCCAGGGGTTTTCCTTCCAGCATAGCTGTTCCCAGAAAACAGCTGCTGTCTAGGAGGTGGTGAGTGATGCTATTTTCTTTCCTTCTTATTTTCTTTCTTTCAGTAACTAAACTGTCTCTATCTTGACCCACAAGTTTCTCTCTGCCCAACCTGTAGCTGTGCCTGGGATTGCCCCGACCCAGGGGTAGCACCTTGCACTTGGCTTGGATGAACTCCATGAGGTTGGCACTGCCCACCTCTCAAGTGTGTCAAGGTCCCTCTGGATCCCATCCCTTCCCTCCAGTGCATCAACCAACCACACATCTTAGTGTCGTGTTGGTGGCAAACTTGCTGAGGGTGCTGGATCCCACTGCCCATGTGACTGACAAAGATTTTAAACCAATTACTAGACGACAGTAGCAGAGGTCCCTTCCCACCCCAATAATTCTGTGATTCTGTAATTACTTTCTGAATTATCCCTATGTGACTTAAAGCAGCCATTGTTAGTTTACAAATGAGATGCTGAAGCAAGCTATTCTAATTTCTAAACATTAGGGAAACCCCTGTCCATGGCAGGGGGGTTGGAACTAGATGATTTTAAGGTCCTTTCCAACCCTTACTATTCTATGATTCTACGAAGCAATAGGGAAGGAGTGTAATTTTTCTGTTTAGAAAGGGTTGTGTTAATATGGCCTCTACTATCCATGCAAATTCAGTAACACAACCAGAGGCAGCATTAGAGAAACAGCATTTACAGTTTTTCTGATCTATTTGTTAAAGTCAAGTGGTTTATCAGAAGGAATCCAGGCGCTCTGGCAATGCTACACTTTTTACTCTAGGCTTAAAGCTTGGAGATTCTGACTTTCACAACTCAGAATATGAGAACAATTCAGCACCAGCATGAACGTAGTTTTAGTCATTGCCAGAGCTCAAGCAGCAGTGCAGAAACAGACTGATACCAACATGTAAATGAAGGAACCAAAGCCTTGCTTTGTTAAAGAACTACCTGCCGATTTGCTGAATCACCTAATACTGGGCAGGCTCTTACTGGCAATATTAGGGAAAACATAGCAGCAGCCTTCCTCTTCCCAAAGTTGTCACATATTCTGTATCTGTCCTTTTCACTGAAACGGGGTTTAAGTGGAACGGATTACCAGCATAACCACAAATGTTATTCTGACAAGAGATTATTTTTTCCTCTTGAAAACAAAGGAGTAAAGTTAAGGAAAACTGCCCGTATTCCCAAATCCCTGAGTTTTTACTCCAGGAAATAAACCAACACCTTTTCTCTGTTTTGCACAAAAGGGATTTCCCCCTCCAATAGATTTTGGAAGTTAGAGGTGTGTCGTTGGGAAGACATTTCAAAGAATGGCTCCCCTGGTCATGGCTAAGAAACCTGGCACATACATGAGGCAAAACTGCTTTAAAATGGTGCTGTGTTTGCTATTTGCACAATGGTAGGGCAGGCTCTGAGATAGGTGCACAAAAGGGCACCTGCTCCATCTGTTCCTCCGAAATCCCCAGGATAAGTGAAGGAACCACACAGGGCTTTTTGAAGAGAAAGGGAGGGAAATGCCATTAGGATAACTTAAGGGGCAGATAATCTATGACCGCCTTATTCCTGAAAATGAAGGTCTTCAAACAGAGAGTTTTAGATGAGGCAGCGCAAGGTGCAGGCACTGAACTCAGGCGTGGCACGGCACAAGAACCCAGTACTTACCTCTCGGTGGACCCCCTACTTGCTCTTCTCAGGTCGTCTTCTTCAGAGTGTGCCTTCTTCACCATGGAGGCCGCCTCACGATTTCAGGGGAGCGAGAGAGAAAATCCCCCACGAGGTCTCTACCACACGCAAGCCTGCGTGACCCTGCTCGGCCAAGGCAAACGCTGTCCGGCCTGGAGGCAGGGCCGTGCGGGGCTGCGATGATGCCGGTGGGAATGGACGGCTTTGCCGTGCCTCACATAAGCGCCTGTTTTTTACAGCAAAACCCTAAAACATCCCGACTTTTCCTCACAGGAGCAGCTTCCCGCCCTTCAGCCGCTACCAGTCCCTGCCGCTCACCGCCGCGGCTCCGCCTTTCCCCGGCCCTCCAGGGCTGCTCCAGCGGCGGTGCCGCCGCTACGGGACGGGGCGGGAGAGGGAGGCGGCCCGCGGTGAGGGTTCCGCCCGCTCTCCCTCCCTTCCTTGTCCGGCCGCCGCACGGAGCGGGCCATGGCCCGCGGGCTTGGAAGGCCCTGCGGCTCGGCCGGGTCGGGGGAGCGGTGAGGGGCGCAACCGGGGCGAGGCTGGGAGCAGCCTCCTGTGGGGACCCTCCGCCTCGGGCATGTCCCCTCCGGCCGGGCCCTCCGCTCCGTGTTAACGCCTCAAGCCGGCTGCGGGCGCGGTCATGGGGACGGCGTCGTCCCTGGTGAGCCCGGCAGGCGCGGTCGGGGAGGTGATCGAGGACACGTACGGCGGCGGCGAGGCCTGCGAGATCCCGGTGGAGGTGAAGCCCAAGGCCCGGCTGCTGCGCGGCTCCCTGCGGAGGGTCGGTGCCTCGCGGCCCGGCGGCCTCATCGGGGCCAGCTTCAAGTCGACGGCCTCGGTGCAGGAGCTGGAGTGCGTGGCCGAGTACGAGCGGCTGAAGAAGGAGTACGAGATCTTCCGCGTCAGCAAGAACAACGAGGTGGCCTCCATGGTGAAGAAGGAGGCCAAACTGGACAGGGAGAACAAGCGGCTGCGCGCTGAGCTGCAGGTAGCTCCCGCTGCTCTCTCATGAGGGGTCTGAGCAGAGAAGCAGTGGCAGGGAGGTGATGGGTGAGATGGCTTTGCCTTCCCAAGGTGCTGGAGAAGCGGTGCGTGCCTCAGTGCTGTCCTGGTGTGACACTGGTGTGCGGTCAATGTGTGCCTCTGGGATGGGGACCACAGGGTCCCTGGGTGAGGAGGGATGTGTAGTGCTTGGGATAACATCGTTGTATTCAGAGCTGAAGAGGAATCTAAAACCTTTCATCAGAGATTGCTTTCACTCGGTATGTTAAATGTTTTCAGGCACTTCAGAAAACCTACCAGAAAATCCTTAGGGAGAAAGAAAGTGCCTTGGAAGCTAAATACCAAGCCATGGAGAGAGCTGCTACTTTTGAACATGATCGAGACAAGGTCAAAAGGCAATTCAAGGTATGTCTTCACTTCCCTCCCTGGGAAAAGGACCAGAGAGAAGATAAATGTCATTTGGGTACATTTCCCCGATGAACTCTTCTCCAGTAGCTTTTGTGAGGACCTCTCCTTCTTATAAAAAATAATTGGAATATCATCGCTGTAGCTGTCTATTTTGTTTAGGGTAATCTTGCCATAACATCTCTGTAAGACTCTGAGGAAAAAGGAGAATATGCAGTGATGCATCTTGAACTAAATTCCTGTGTTATTTGAGCACAGAAAGTACTCAGGTTTGAGAGTGACAGGAAAACCTGGGCTGCAAACTGACACATGCTGAAGGAATGTATAAACACAGAGCTCCATTATTTCTGAATCAATTTTATATATAGTATTGTAATGTTAAACACTGCTAGCTTACATTGAAGAAAAGTGTGTATTGGTGCATCTCTTGGCTGCTGAAGTGTGATACCCAGTTAAAGGCAAAAGCATTTGTGCTTTTGGAGAGGTGACTTGAAACGCCAAGCTGATGCTTCTGCTTTTCCCGTGCTGCAGATGGTGGTATTTCTATCACTCAGAGCAGTAGGTCTGGTTTTGCTGGTCTTGCACTGTTTTCAAGATTATCAATACCTGTAATTGTAGCAGGTGTTAATGTTTGGCAGATATATAAAAGGATTGGTTTTGACCTTATTGAAGAAAATGAGACTTGAAGAAGATGTCATCTCTTTGAATTTAGGTTCATGTTTTCTTCCCATATGTAAACGTAAAAACAAAATACATGCAGCAATAAAAGGGAGCCTTTGAAAAAAGTTATTACATACGGTGGGTTTAGAAGACAATAAACTTTAAAGGATGCAAAAAGTTACTTACGGTTTTTAATAAACTTCCCAGACTAACGCAAACTTCTAACTTTCAGAACAGTATGCTGAGGTTTAAAATGGTAAAATTGTGAAAACAGATCATTTAAAACTATGTTTTCCTGCTCATTTATAGGCTCCTCATGGCTTCTTGTTTGCATTTTCATGCTTTTGCCGGCTAAGTGACTGCTAGAACCTTATTTTTCCAACTGAACCAGATAGTATGAATTGAGGAACTAATACTGATTATTGAAAGATTTATGGTTTGTGTTTTTCTCTGCTCACAGATTTTTAGAGAAACTAAAGAAAATGAGATTCAGGACTTACTGAGGGCCAAACGGGAGCTAGAAGCCAAGCTTCAGCGACTCCAGGCCCAAGGAATCCAAGTGTTCGATCCTGAAGAGTCTGATTCTGATGATAATTGTACGGATGTTACAGGTGAGAATTTCAGCCTCAATATTTCATGTTGGAATATCGCTGAGGTTTCTGAGTGGTAAAGCACAAGTCAAGTACTTAGGTCGTACAAAAAGAAACATAAAATAGTTTAAAGAGTAAAAGCAGCTGACTTCACAGGCTTGGTTTAGATTGTGGAAACCCCACATTTCTAGTCCTGTGAATGAATTGATGAAGAAAGTAGAACACTGTCTAGGCACAGTGACTTGAACAGTCTTTTAAATTGTTCCATGAACAAGTCTTTATTTTTCTAGTCTTTTCTGAGTTTTCTGTTTCTAGATCTGAGGATCATTCTCCAAAGGATCCAAAAAGCACACCCAAAACTAGAGGGAATCTTAGACTTACTGTTTATGAATAATGCAGTATGCCAGTCTCAGCTGCTGTCCTTTTCAGAGCAGCAGTTAGGTATTTAACAACCATGAATTGACCAAAAGAGTAATTTTATTGAAGAACTTTTTGACAGGAAATCCCTCACAATATTAGTGACATAAAAGGCAAAAGTTTGTTGTAGCTGTAGGAGGTATTTGATACCATGGGAAGGATTCAGATAGGCACGAGATCAGTTCACTGGCTTTGCATCAGGTTCAAAATACCACAATAATAGTAGCAGACTGTTAGCACTTTAACACTTACGGGATACCCACCATTATTTCTTGTACCATGAAGGGTTATTGAGGAGAAACTGTGTGCAAGTGCTGTTGCTTAACCTGTGTTTTGCTTGTAGAGATCAACTGTTACATCTTGGCAGGAGCATAAATATGCAATCTTTAAAAGTAGAAACATTTAAAAATGCAGTGATTGGCGTTTTGCATAGTAACTATGCATTTGATGGACTTCTTTGGTACAGCTAGTCTGTTTTATGTATTTTTTCTGTCTTCTTCTGTGTTAAATTGATTTTTTAATTTGTATTTCCCTTACCTTTTTCTAAGTCATTTTCAATTTCCTGATTTTCTCCATGGAAGGTTTATTTAGTGTCTTGAATGTTGTGTATTGATTGGCAGAAGTGTAATCCAAGCATGCTGTGAAGAGATACCATGAAAGCTCTTTCACACAGCATAGAGACTATATTTCAATTCTGACCTACAGCCCCTTTATGCTTTTCAGTGCTGGAACATTCCTGAGCAAAAGTTGTCAATTTTTGTGGTATACCAAATGACTGCAGCAATCCTGATTTGTAATGCAGGTCAGCATCTGAACCCAACAGATGTCAGCAATCTATATATTGGCAAATAAGCTCATCCTTTAGCTTCACAGTGCCTTTGGACAAGTGCCTGTTTAGAACAAAGGTGTGAGCAGATCTGCTAAAGGAGTAAAAATTACTATCAGTGGTATACGGCAGTGGGTTTCAAGTGGAGTATTTAAAACTGATAATTTACCTTGTTTAGTGACATTAAAAAGGGGGTGGTTTTTTGTTGTTTTCCAATTCTTAGCTGCTGGGGCACAATCTGAGTACTGGAATGGAGGAGCTTTGGGAAGTGAGCCATCCATGGGTAGTATGATGCAACTTCAGCAGTCTTGCAGAGGGCCTGAGTTTGCTCATAGCTCCATAGATGTTGAGGGACCATTTGCAAATATAAACAGGGGTAAGTAATGGTGGTTTGTTTGGCTGGGATTATAGGCATCTGTGTCATTTTTCTATCCTTAAGTAATTCTGTTCTTTTCTTAGCTCTTTTTCTGTCCATTCATGGGTATGTGAGGGTTATTTGGAATTCTTCATTGTAAAAATCAAAGGAACTGTAGCAGTACATGCTGTTACTGTTAATATATTTGGTGACTGAATATGTGTAGCAGTGATTTTTAATGAACAGCAGTGACTGGCACTTTGTTGAGGGTAAACCAAATACCATTTTGTTACTTATATTGACTAAGGAAGATACTGAGGGGGCCATTGATGGAAATCTGAGTGTAAGACCAGGATGTATGCATTGTTGAGTCAGTGTTAGGTATTTTCGTATCCATAATTGTTGCTCTGGAACTCTGGCCTCTTGCAAATTGCCTTCTGGTGCTCTGGTTTCCCTCACTGTCCTGGCCCTGGAACCCCTCCTGCATACAGTTGACTTTGCTGGCAGTTTCTCCCTTTTTCCTTCAGTCCTTCAGGCTCCAATTCAGAAGTGTGTGCCTGAAAAGTGGGAGGGCAGGGTCTCCTCTATGATGGCTCCTGCTTCATACACTAAGCCTTTCATCATCCCATGTGGTACTGAAAGTAGAACCTGCTCCTATCTTGAAAAAGTGACCAGTCACAAAATGAAGAACCTGAGAAAGTTTTAAAATTCATTGCTTCCATTGCTTCTGTAGGCCTGTATATGCTTCTAGTTGACATTCAGTGCTACAGAAAGCAATGGACTTCATCTCAATGAGAATTTCCTGTAATGTTCCACTGTGATTTATTCACATGGTCTAATCAAAAGAAATGTAAATCTAGAGGGAAAAAAAAAACAGCTTTAACTATGAATGATTTTATTGTTTCTGCATATTTTTACTTATTTTACAATTATCGGATTGGTTTTGTGGATACTTTTCATCGATCCTCTTTAAAGGGTTGTAATTGTAATGTATTTGTAATGATAATATATTTAACACTGGTTTTGCCACAATATCAAATTCTATGACATTGCTGATATGTGGACTCTAAATTCAAATTTACAAAATCGGTTTAGTAAAAATATTACTACTATTTTAAATAACACATAATATTTATGATGTTAAGATGTGACGACTTACCTGTTATCCCGTGTAATCAGGTGTAAAGATCTCTTGACTTTGTTTTGTATTTCTTAGATGATTGGGATGCTGCTGTTGCCAGTTTATTACAGGTTACTCCTCTGTTTTCCCACTCTCTCTGGAGTAACACAGTAAGGTGTTTTATTATTGGTACTGATGAGACTCAACCAGAAGTGGACATCTTCATTAGAGTGAGTACCTCACAAACTTACGCTCCCTTACACGCTGGTTTGTTTCCACTGTGATACTTACTCAGAAATTTGTCTAATATTTCTTGAAAGCTTTAGTGAGTGTAGCCTGATGTCAGTGAAAGTATTGTCAAGGACTTCAGAGGAAGAAACTGCTTAGAGAAAAGAAACTGAGATTCATCCAGTAGGTCCTTAGTGCTATGCAGGTTTAGTAATGAAACACCGTTACTCAAATTTGCTTTCAGAACTACTCACCAAAGCTTCAAAGAGTCTGTGAAACAATGGGGTACTTCTTTCAAGTTGTTCATTTTTCAGAAGAACATGAAAGGCCTCTTAAGGATGTAAGAAAATGGGAAATTGAAAAAAGTTCATTAATCGTTTTGCTCCTGCATTTAACTTTGCCAAGGTGAGTGTTTTCCAGACTGGTAAAGCAAATGGAAACTGGTAATCCATGCAGAGTGCATAGCTTAGTAAAATGTATGTGATGCTTTGCTCAGTACTTTTCCAAAGCTACTATCTTCAAAGTGATGCTCCTTCGAACTTTAGGTTTGCTAGTGCAGACAGTTAAAAGAATACATCAGTTTTGTATCATTTCCTTTTTCTTGTGGCTACAGATACTCTTAAAATACAGCATTGAAAGATGTCTTCATAGCACAAAAATGTTTTGCTTTCTAAGAGCATCTCTCAGTCGTGTGTATTGCTGGAGTCTTAGGAATTCAGGATGGCTGGTGTGAACGTCCTCTGTGTTTTTCATGTGCTTATCTAGCTTTACACCTGGCTTTACCATTTTGATTTTATTCTGTCACATATCATTTTCTATCTTTGGCTGGTTTTCAGACTGATTTCTTGGCTCTCCTGTGTGGTACCTTATGCTAGCTTTCTACAGCCTTAATTTACTGAAATCATGAGGGTTTATGACAAAAGGTGCTTCCATGTGTTCTTTTTCAGTAAGTAAATTCCTAACCTTCTAAAAGAGGAAACATGACTCAGTAAATGAAAAACACCAAACTAATAATACTTTTAGAATGGTGTTAGGACTGTTTATGTTATGTATTTGGGAAATTTGGGCAGTTTTGATGTTTGGGAGAGGAAGGGGGTCTCCTTTTGCTGAAGAAGAGAGAAAAAGGGATTAGAAAATGTAATACTAAGGGTCATGGAGTGGTCATTCCAAAACATCTGTATGAATGCAAAAAGCTGGAAATATTGCTATGCATAAAGTTTCATATTAGGAGTAGATTTTGAACTCTAGGGATTTCAAATACTGTGTGTTATTAGAGCTCTTGTATTAACTAGATCTCCTGTTTCTGTAAATAAAACATCTGTCCACAGAGAATTAAAGACTGGTTTAAGACACTAGTAGCTAAGATTTACAACAGTGGAGGACTTCAGAGAATAGCCAGGTGCTACAGAAGATGGTGGTTTGTTTTCATAGAGGAATCAGGCTAGAGCTGCCATCCATTTATGCTGGTAGAAGGATAGTATAAGCTGCCTGGGATATTGGAACTCTGAGGGGATAGTGTTACCAAATAACCAGCTCTGTGTATGTGGGTCATAAGTGTTCAATAATGAAATACACAAGGAAAAAAAACCACACACAAAGGAAATGTTCTTTCCAACAGTATTCACTTAGAGAGTTTCTCTTAGAAAACACATGATGAAAATTGCAGTTCTCATATAAAGAATATAACATTTGAGAGATCCTGTCTTCTGTTGTCAGCATCCTCGAGTTGTACTGTTCTTTGCGGAACAGCGATAGATTGCTGGGAATGATATCCATGGTTATCATTCACATAATATAAATACAAAGAGCCTGTACATGGTGTTTATTAATCGTGTGACTCCATGTTCTTGCCATGCAAGGCAGTTAACCTTCACTCTGCATGTTGCTATGAGAGGAGATCAACTTTAATTTACAAAGCAATGATCATAAAAAATAATAAATGGGTTTAATGGTTTCGATACAGAGAGCATGTATTTCTCTCTTAGCTTTTCCTTGCTTCAGAGTTTATCCTAAATTCTCTGCTGAGATATTTGCTTGCCCTTTGTTGTAAATAGATATGACTCTTGAATTAGATTTTGCAGCGAAACCCATCTTTGGAGCTTGTGTTGATTGAACTGTTTACTACAGCAGTGTAATATAGCACAAGAATGCTGATTTCCAATCTAGTTGTTTGTTGGAGGACTGTGAAGAAGCCTTCTTGAGAAATCCAGAAGAGAAACCCCGGCTTATTTACCACAGAAAGGAGGATGGCAGAGTCAGTTCGGCTTCAGTGCAACAGTTCATTGAGCAAATTTCTCATGTGAACAAAGCAAAGGTATGCCGTTTTAAAGACTGAGGAATGCTAAAAGGCTTGTTTTCCTGCTATAAACAACATGGAGTGCTAGTAGTCCCACATTTTAGGAGAAACAGCATTGAACTCATTGCTCTGGATGTTCGTTATATGAGCAGATTGCTGAAGCTGGAATCTATGAATGTTATAAATTTTTCAGTAGCAGAGGAGAAAAACAGCCACTGTATTTTCACTGAAAATAAAATCCCTGTTCCATAAGGATAGAATTTCTCACCTGTGTTTAGCCATTTAAATGTCAAAGTTATTTATCTAAGGCCCCTCTGTAGCCATGGAAGTGAAAGAAGTATGGCTCCAGAGAGACTGCTCCCATCGCAGAATAGATCAGTTGCCATTTATTTCCCTCTGCAAAGAGAACTACTGGAACTAGATGCCCAACTTTTAAAAGCTTAGACAAAGTGAATCCTGCCTAAGGAAGGCAACAGAATGGAATTTAAATGTGTTGAGAATGTTTTTGTTGGAAGCCCTAAATGCTGTTTCCAGTTGGGTTCAGATTTGCATCATGCTTTGCTGTTTACTTTTTCAGATGATTGATCATACTGGAGGTGTGGAGGAAGGAACATATGAAATCTATAACTGTGTGGAAAAGATAATTAAACAGGTAGAATACATGGTGCATTTCAGCTTTTACCTGTTCCTGCCTTGATTTATGACCTTAAGTGATGTTAGTGTGATTACTACATGTTACTTCAATGTAATTTAAAGGATCATTTTGTGGTTTTAGCATTAATATTTGGCAAGCAAAGAAATATGCAAGTGGAAAATAAAAACCCAACCTTAGGGACAAGAACAGGAATAACAGGGGGAAGGAGTCTGTTTGTGGCTAAAATTCTTTGAATTTCTCTTTAACCATATCATAGGATAAGGAAAGACTGTATAGTCCATAGTTTCCTTATTCTTCCTTGTGGGGAGTAGCTTCCACTATGAGAAGACTAAACCCAGTGTCTTGAGACCTGTGCATTCAGAGTTAACTTGGTTTCATGTAGTTGCTCATTTATTTATGTTCTGTGCTAGTCTGAAAGGAAACGATCACAGTGATGTTAATAGAGCTGTGTCATACACAGTGGAAATGAGACTAACACCAAATGTGCCTGCACATTTATATATAATAAGAATAAGATTTATATATAGTAAGAATTATAGTTGCAGTTTTCTCCATGTAATTTTCTTTCTACTTAGGATATATTGGGGTGTGAAATGACAGAACTAGAAGGCAAGGATTTAGGTAATAAGGAAGAGTCCACTGCTCCTGAAGAAGAAGTTTTTGGTGATGTATTGTGGGATGCACATGATGAACAAGAACAGATGGAAGCTTTTCAGCAAGCCTCTAATTCAACATGTGAGCTGGGATTTGAGAAAGTAAGTACATTGGAAATGTATATGGATGAAGACGAAAGTCATTGCTCCCATCCATCTCTCGTTAGGCAAGTTGTACTGCAGAAGAAGCTGTGTCTGAGAGCATCCTTGAGGCTGTTACTCCTTAGGCTAGAAAAAGCCATATGTCTTATATATATGGCATACTTGTTTTGTGGGAGAGCTGCCAGTTTGTATGTTGTTGAATGACACTGATGAAGAAGCAGTTGTTGTTCCTGCACTGGAAAAAAAAGGACTGTAATGGCGTGCCAGAAGTCGGGTGTCTTCGAAAAGGCTCTGAATGTTTTGGGGTTCTTGGAGGAAATCCGAGCTCTGTCTTGACACCTGGAGTTAGGTCTTTTGGAGGTGACTAATGGAAAGATTTCATCGTGCAGCCATGTGCATGTGAGAAGAGCAGAGAGAACTGAAGAGCTGTTGAATAGCTCAGTACTTACTCATTACTTGTAATGAAACTCTAAAAACATTTGAAATTGGGGATGTCAGGCACAACTATAGGTAGGGAAAGTATAGTGAATGTAGGAAGATGATAAATATTAAAGTGGTTGTGGAAGGTGATACAACAGCTTATTTTGGCAATATTCCTTGATGTTATAATGTAACAGAAGCATGCAGATTCTGTGTTAATTGTGTTTAAATTGTTAGTACCCCTATTTTACTAGCAAAATTTATTCTTTTGCTTTGCAATACTCCTATATTGGCAATGGTTTGGAGGATAGTGCCATCTTTACTACATAGTAGAACAGGAATATAATAGAACATTAATAGAAAAAATACCTACGTATATCTTAATGTGCCTCCACTTCTTTTTTCAGCCAAAATAGTTCTCCCAAGTTGATGAAGGGTAGTTGTTGTTTTTATCATCCTGAACTCTGCTACAGCATTGTTGGGTGCCCATGTGGTGAAAAAAACCCTTTCTTTTGTATGCTTACTGCCTCAAAATACCATTTTATTACCAAAGTGCCAACTTTGAAGGCTTTGTCCTGGCAGCCATATCCAAGGCAGTGGAGTAGCTTGGGGGAAAAGAGAGGCAAGGAAGCCTGAACAAACATAGTTCCCAGTTGTTTTACTGTAGTAACATTAGTTCAGTTTATGAAGACTGAAAGTTGCATTTTAAATAGTTTTGAAAAAATGTTTAATTTATTTCACTATTTCTTTAAAAGACATAATAAATTCTGTGGTTTCTGTGTTTAATTTGAGCATTTATTTGTACTGTATTGCGTTTCAGTAGTTATTCCCATGCCTTAATAAATCTGTACGTGCCTTTTGTGTCTAGATGGTTTACAATACCAAGCACTGTATTTCTCATTTAAACAGTGCAATATTTGTAATGATAGTTGCTTTTTTTTTATAGTACTTTGAACGTCTGAATGACCTTGTAGCAGCACCAGCACCAATTCCACCTCTGCTTGTATCAGGAGGACCAGGCTCTGGGAAATCTCTCCTTCTGTCAAAATGGTAGTTCAAACTATTATTTTTTTACATGAATGAAATTTGATGGATTTAAAAAAAAAGATGGTTTCTATTTCACACATTGTATCAGTTTAATTAGAGGTAAAATGGGAGAATTTACAAAGCACTGAAGTTACTGAAGCATTCTGGAAAGATGTGTAATAATTAAGTAGCTAACTCCATCTGGACTGTCTTTAACATCTCTCTGCCTCTGATATCAATACCCTACAGATCTGCCTTTGTGGTATCAGTAGCTTGATAGCTTTGCCCTTGTCTGATACAGAAAGGGGATCTTTGAAGTCTTTTTAACCAACCTAATAATTTATCATAGAAATGCATTTTATGGTCACTTGTAGGCTATGACAAAATGTGCTGACATAAAAATAAATTGGTAGTGTCATTACTTCTTGGCAGCTTAGTGACATACGACTGTCCAGTGCCAGGAAGGGCACTTTTTAATGGCTCTCAGTACTGAGAGAACAAAACTTGAAACTGACACAAAAAGTTCAGTTGTAGCTCAGGAAATGTCTATCCTATTTTGCAAGATAACCATTGAACACCTCTAATGCAGACCGTACATCTCCTTTGGCAAAACTGATTGCTTTGATTTGAGATATATTTGCAAAATTACAGTCTGTTAAGTGCCCTTTCATTTTGATCTCTCTCATTAGGATTCAATTGCAACAGAAGCATTCCCCAAACACTCTAATTCTTTATCACTTTGTTGGGAGGCCCATGTCTACTAGTGCAGAATCTGCACTGATAATCAAACGCCTTACTTTAAAGGTAGGCTGTGTTATTACATACCCTGTACTGTATAATTCTTTGGAAACTACCTCTGTGTGTGTGTTTTTATGTGAAAAGATAAAATCTTCTACAGGTTTCAGGGTTTTCTATATCATAGAATCATAGAATAGTTAGGGTTGGAAAGGACCTTAAGATCATCCACTTCCAACCCCCGTGCCATAGGCAGGGACACCTCACACTAAACCATCTCACCCAAGGCTTCGTCCAGCGTGGCCTTGAACACTGCCAAGGATGGAGCATTCACAGCCTCCCTGGGCAACCCATTCCAGTGCCTCACCACCCTCACAGTAAAGAACTTCTTCCTTAGATCCAATCTAAACTTCCTCTGTTTAAGTTTTAACCCATCACCCCTTGTCCCGTCACTACAGTCCCTAATGAAGAGTCCCTTCCCAGCATCCCTATAGGCCCCCTTCAGATACTGGAAGGCAGCTCTGATGTCTCCACAAAGCCTCCTCTTCAGTTCAGAGTAATACAAATGTAAGGCGTTATAGAACTGGGGGAATCAGATCATATATGTTGACTACAGATCAATTAAATAGCATCCCTGGGATATTCACAATGGATTGGCATTGGCAGTTGTACTTCCAGTAGCCTATATTGATTGATATAAAACCATACAAGCTTCTTCCAAACTTTCCTGCCATCTGGCCAATGAGAGAGGCACATGGTACCTCTTCTGTCTGTGTGTTCAGAAACTTGAGTCTGTATTCACCAGTTGGCACTATATCTGTTCCTGGACTGGTCTCTCTCCTCTGATTATTTATTTATTTATTTGTGGTGTGTTAAATATGTGGGGAATAAATGAAGAGTATTTTTGTGCCAGGGCCTGAGCTTTCTTCTTCTTTCACAGGATTAAAACCTTTGGAAAAAGGTCCGGTGGAGACCAATAAGAATGATCAGGGGTCTGGAGCATCTCTCTTTATGAGGAGAGATTGCAGGAGCTGGGCCTGTTTAGTCTAGAGAAGAGCAGCGTGAGAGGGGCCCTGCCTTGAAAGGGGGTTGGCCTGGGTGATCTCCAGAGACCCTTTCCAACCCTAATGATTCTGTGTGAAAAATGAAATTGATTGTGCTCTCCTTCCAATTTTCTCATGTATTTTAGAAGTCTTCCTGTTTAATCTCTTCAATTTTTAAGCCCTTTAAATCTCCACATCCCTTGTCCTCAGGTTGTCTCTCTAGAATTTACACAGCGAGTTCAGTAAATAGTCTTTGTTCTGCATATGCCAGCTTTCTGCATATACTAGAAGGAAAGATTTCTGTGTGAACTTGACTATTTTGTGCCAAAATAGTATGGGGTTTTGTTTGTTTGTTTCTCTCCTGCTTCTGCACACTTCTTTCATGAGAGTTTTTAAGGTCAGATTTGTTATATGTGTTTGTAATTCCACAGCTTATGCAACACTCATGGTTAGTGTCACCTCTGACTTTCGATCCAGCTAAACTTCTGGAAGAGTTCCCTCGTTGGCTGGAAAAACTTTCTGCACGTCATCAAGGCAGCATTATTATCATTATTGATTCTATTGACCAGATACAGGTATGTCTTCAAGATACTTACCTCTTGTCCATCTAGAGGAAATCTCAACTGTTGTAATAGGTTTGGCCACATCTACATAACAGAAATATTAATGTTTGCTTTGCTCTAAACAGCACATCTAGAAAATAGAAAATAGTTCTGTAGATAAATTGTGTTCTTTTGGGATTATTCTTCTATCTTAACACCTTAATTTTTGAAGCCTTTTGAAACACCTTTATGTATTGAAAGATTCAGAGCTGGGAGATGATTTATGGGCATCCAAACAGCCTAGTCTTTCTGAGGTATTCTATCTGCTTTATTTTATGGTCATGCTCATATATGTCAATGGGTCATTTAGAACGGCTTCAAGAACCACATTATGAACACTTTTTTTAAGGCAGGGTGGTTGGAACTGGATGATCTTAAGGTCCTTTCCAACCCAAACTATTCTGCAATTCTGTGATGCTGGAGACCATACTGAGCTGCGCAGTTAATGAAATATATCAACTTCCTGCATTGTTTTGAGCAATCTTTGTATTAAGTAACAAAATTTGTTTTTTAAGCAAGCTGAGAAGCACATGAAGTGGCTGATAGATCCATTGCCAGTGAATGTGAGAGTGATTGTATCAGTGAATGTAGAAACATGTCCACAGGCTTGGAGGTATGTTGTATTTCTGAGTTGTTTCAAAGTAGCCTGGGTTAGAATTGTTGTTTTAAATTACAGTTACTTGGTGAAGAGCAAACAGCAGCTTTGCCAAGACCTGGAGATTTAATAGCATATGGTTTTGCAACTATTGATGACAGCAAAAGCTTCCCTATTGTGACTGCAGAGGACAGGTTTTAGCTGTTTGGATTTATTGTGATGGATCTGTCCATGTGACTGTATGGAAGAGGATATTAAATGCAGTCAGATGCACATGAAGAACCACAATACCATGATGTAGGTCCAGGATAAGGCTAAAAGCAGAAATTTGACTTGTGATGACTAGAATTTCTTAATGACAGGGAATAGCCTCAATTGCTGCTGTGATATAAATCTTCAGAAAGGTCTGGAACTTTGATGTCTTTTTTTTCCTTTCGTGTGCTATTTAATAAGGTCTGAATATGACTTTGTTCTCTCTTACCAAAGGTTGTGGCCCACTCTTCATCTTGATCCGCTGAATTCCAAAGATGTTAAATCTCTCATTAGTGCAGAATGTAACTCTGCAAATGTTAAATTAACTAAAGAGCAGGTATGTCTGTTGCAGTTCTAAAGTACCTTACTCTAGTATAACTTCTAATAGAAAATAACTTTTAATGGGAACATACAGGCCCAGGTGCCAAAGGAAGGTATTATATTTAGCTAACGAAGTACTAATGCTCAAGACAGTATGCCATTTTTTTATCCCATAGCTCATAGCACTGAAACAGATGGACAGCATAAATTATTAACACATAAACAGTGCAGTTGTACATACTGCTATAAACATGTTACTTTATATTAGAATAGTAGAAGGTTTAATATTGTGTAATACTATCACAAAGATTGGCAGAGTGGGGAAAAAAAGTATTTTACCTTTAATTTTGCCTTAGAGACCAATTCTATAATGACATCCTCATCTTGAGAGGTATAATGGTTAGATCTTAACTCTTTTAAATTCAAAAGGAATCTTTCACTTCTATGCTCCTATAGCTACAAAACTACGCAGTATTTTGTGTGCTGGTCATCATGTCATAGTGTTCACATCTTACAGATAGAAGCATAGCTAGAACTTTTATTTTCTTATGGAATAGTGAACATGTCATTGGTGCAGTTAATTTCATCTTGGCTTACAGATTTTGTTTGAAATGTTGTAGGAGAAGAAGCTTGAGAGACATTGTCGTTCTGCCACAACTTGCAATGCTTTGTATGTCACTCTCTTGGGCAAAACCATTGCCTGGTAAGTTGAGATGATCTTGAAATTATTATGCTCATCACTAGATTAGAAGACCTGAAGTAGGTTTGTTAGCATTTCGAAATACATTCATTTAACGTAGAATGAATCTTGTTAAGAGAAAAGAGTGGAGCAACCATTTCCCCCTTTCACTGACTGTACATGCAATGGGAAGAATAACCAGAATCACCATTTTGATCCTCAGTGAATCCAAATAGATATATCTATCTATTTCTGCTCTCCTGTTTTATTTTTCTGTTACTCTGCTCTCTGGGTATGTCAGTTGCTTCAATGCTTTTGAAAGGTATTTGGGGAATGTTGGCATTGTTTTATTAAACAATTTAATTCAGGTCTGTTGTATTTACCGATGTACCAGATAGTTTGCCTCACAGACTTTTAAGGCTGAAGGAAGTTTAACAACTGTTTAGTGTAACACCCTGCATATGGTACTTTGCCCTATAATTCCTGCTGTGGAGAAAATTAATCTTCCCTCTTGTGCAAGAGAATACTTAATAAGTGCATTGGCTTATTATTAACCTAGACCTCACCTTGTTGAGAAAGATGCATTTTTAGTTGAGAGATTCCCAGGAGATGATAGACTGGTAATTTACCCTGGGTGACTCATTTTGATTATTTTTTGTTTCTGTTTTATGTCCTAGAGTGCTTAATTGGTCCTGCAAACAGGCTTTGTAAATGCATTAAGTGGAACAGCAGCATGTGGTCTTACCTTTATCTAGCCGGGTGTTTTTATTCTGTGCTCCTGTTGGAGGAAAGAACACTGCAACATACTTTCTTTTTAGTAAATAAGAATGTAGCAGTTATTGAGAGAAATCAGCCAGTATAACAGAAGGTGGCTTCAGGAATTCACCTCTTCTGAGTTTAATCTCAGCAAGACCTGTGCGCCTGTTAAACGCAGTAGGAATTCAGAGCCTTTTTGAGCTCTTCAGTACCTTCAGTTCATCTTACTCTGCCAAATTTGATATTCTAAACCATGCCCTTTCTGTCCTTCTGCTCAGTCTTGGAAATACAGGAAATATAGATGAAACCCTTCAACAGTGTTTGCAGTGTCAAGACACCGTGTCACTGTACAGGCTTGTTCTCAGATCAATTCAAGAATCATTGCGGAGTGATACAGAGAAAGGTCTTTTGAGAGAGGTAAGCAGAAAATGCGTTGCTGTTTCTGCAGGTATTGTACATTCTGTCCTGGAAGAATCTTAAGTTACAAGTAAATACAAATCTGTGTTGGTTCATATGTAGGATTAGAGATGGCTGTGTTATTAGTATGGAAGGGACAATTTTAGTAATTGAACTATATCTTTTGCATAACTGTAGAACGTCTGACTGCTTTGTGTTACATTTCAACTAAGTCATTGTCTCCCAAAACAACTTTTCCACTATCATGGGATACAGAAATAGCATTTCCTTTCTGATTGCTGCCTTCATCCAATGATTAACTACACTGAGTGTAGTAAATGTAATCAGAACGTGGGATCTTGTGAATACAGGGCACTGCTTCCTCTTCCTACCTTTGCAGCATCTCCCTGTTGTGTAGAACACTGATTTGATTAGGAGATGATATTCAGTTTTTGCTAGAAGTTCTTTGGTGCTGGCAGCATAAGGCCTTCAGCATATTTTACTGAGATGGAAGTTCCTTATCATAATGGAGTCATTTTCCAGTGTTTCAGAGGAAGGTTGAAGGAGCCATTCATTTGTCCCAGAGTGTCCCATTTGGTGCTTTATGTATTAGTATGTTAATCCATTAGCACTGAGGACTGTTCTTTGAGGACTGAAGAGGGGAAAGGGCTTGTGTAGGCAGGTGTTGTATTGGCTCCTAAAGTATTTTTTGTGGGATTTCAGCATAAGTAAGCTCTGCAGCAAACACTGCTAACTATAGAATACTTGTTGTGCTCTATGTAGATACTGTGTGTCATTGGTGTTAGCCACAATGGTGTGAGTGAGTCAGAGCTGATGGAACTTTATCCTGAGCTGTCTTCTGCAGCCTTAGCCTCGCTCGTTCACAGCCTGCACAGAATGTGTTTGCTGACATATGGCTGTGGTTTGCTGAAGTTCCAGCACCTCCAGGTAGGTTTTGTAATCCAAGCAAGTGAAACTCCACCCCCTGAGCCCCGGCTGGGTTTTAGAACAGTTCTGTTGTTAACTGGGATGACTGTGTTATGTCTGTGTTTGCTCATCTATTTTCCCTAAGGTCTGATCTGATGTTAGAATCACCTTGAAAACTGCTAGGGCTATGACGTTAGTATTGGCCATTACGGTTCAGCAGTTGAAACCTGGCATTTCAAACCTTCAGAAACTTCTGATCTATTAGTTGTTAACTAACTCCATGTGTTTTAGAACACACAGGGTGCTGGAGAGGGACTCTTCATCAGGAACTGTAGTGATAGGACAAAGGGTGATGGGTTCCAGCTGAAACAGGGGAAGTTCAGGGTAGATATAAGGAAAGTGGTGAGGCACTGACACAGGGTGCCCAGAGAAGTGGTAAATGCCCCATCTCTGGCAGTGTTCAAGGCCATGTTAGACGGCACTTTGAGCAACATGGTCTAGTGTGAGGTGTCCCTGGCCATGGCAGGAGGTTGGAACTGGATGATCTTAAGGTCCTTTGCACCCTAAAGTATTCTATGATAAAACACTGGTTCTGCAAAAACCAAGCAAAGTGGTAGAAGGGACTATCTGCATAACCAGAGCTCTGGTCTAATATAAGACAATGTCTTGCTAGTGCTTTTGTCATCAAAAGACTTTCAGTTCTATATGATGTGTTGCATAAAGAAATCTTGCATAGCACTCTGTGTATCATCAGCACGTAATAAGCAAATGCATTTTCTTTCAATTATACTGTTTTGCAGGCTTGGGAGATGGTGAGACTAGAGTACATGGAAGAAGGTGAAAATGTTCTTTCTGCCTATAGACAAAAACTAGTGGAGTATTTCACCATGCAGCTAAGGTAGGTCAGAATTCCTCAAAACGTGTTAAATTGCAGGCTTTATGCCTTGGGGATATTTTTGTTTTCTTCATATAGCTTCTTTGACTCAGTTTAGTAAATTATTTCAGCAGAGTAACTCTGCAAAACCCTAGTTGTCAGAGTCAGTTTATTATTGATACATTGCTTTTTAATCTTGGAAAATACTGAGGACTATGGAGGGGAATGGGAAGGAGTTTCTACCACATCAGTTACTTTGTGGTAACTGACCCCATGTGGATTTTTAACTCCCAGTAAATGCTAGGAATTTTGAAGTTGCTTGGAACTTGGAGAAGCAGAGGACAACTTGTGTTCAGCAAGCAGTTAGCACACACACAAGAGGAGGTCCAGTAGAAAAGCTGAACAGCTACAAGCTCACATCCAGCTTGAAAAGTGGTTTGAATTTACAGTCCTGAGTTAGTGTGTCCCAGCTGTGGGTTACTGCTTACTGCTGCTCCACAGAGCAGAAAGCAGAAAGCCAAGGGAGGCACAGTGTGCCAGGGAAAAGTCACAGAGGGATGGAGGGCTGCTGCAGGCCTGCAGTCCTGCTAACAGGCACAGGTCAGCCCATATGGGAGGGAGGAGCAGCTTCCTGTGGGGTACCTGGGGGTTCCACTAGCTCTGAGGTGAAGTTAAAATGAAGATGTGAGAAAATGGAGTACATAGCTCTTATAGGAGTCAGTCTGGTTAGACATTCAGGCATGGCAATTGTGTGCTTGCCTAGTTTTCACTTCAATTGGCAAGTTCTTTTAGGCCTCTCAGGGTTTTAATGTTTGGTTTTATTTGCTTTTCTTTCAATAGTCGGGACCGAGTGACTTGGAGAAGCGCAGATGAACTTCCCTGGCTCTTCCAACAGCAGGGAGATAAGCAAAAGCTACACAAGTGTCTTTTGAATCTCTTTGTATCACAAAACCTTTACAAAAGGTACAAAAGCAGCCACTGCTTCAGCAGTTAGAAACACTTCAAAGCAATTTTTTGTCAATATAAATCAGACAGTGACAGATACTTATTAAAAGAGCTGAAATAGTAGAGGCTGAAATGCTAAATGCTGTTGTCACATAAATCATCTTTTTTTTCTATCCTGTTACATATGGGGGTTGGTAAAGGGACAAACAAATACTGCTGTTGAACAGCGTAGTCTCCGTGGATTGTCTCTAGATGCTGTAGCCTAAAGACAGCATTCATGCATATGGGCCTTTTCTTCTAAGCTAGCATGAGTCTGAATAGAGGGGTATCAGAGATAAGATGAGCTTCTTATTTCCTTGTTAAAACAGGGGACATTTTGCAGAATTGCTGAGTTACTGGCAGCTGGTTGGGAAAGATAAGAGCTCTATGGCAGCTGAGTATTTTGACTCTCTGAAAGAATATGAGAAAAGCTGTGAGGGAGAGGCAAGTATGATCTGCCTGGCTGATCTTTATGAGACCCTGGGACGGTTTCTTAAGGACCTAGGTCTTCTCAGTCAGGTAAGTGCACCTAGAGATCGTTGTAACAGCAAGAAGGCAAATTAAGCAGAGCTCAGCGTGTGCTTTCTGTTGCAGTTGCGAAGTCGTTGTAGCACGCAGGGTGCTGCCTGCTGCCATCATACACTGACCTCCCTTGTTCCAGGCTGTAGCTCCTCTGCAGCGCTCTCTGGAGATCCGCGAGACTGCACTGGATCCAGACCACCCGAGGGTGGCACAGTCACTGCACCAGCTCGCAGGAGTTTATGTGCAGTGGAAGAAGTTTGGAAATGCTGAACAGCTGTATAAACAGGCCCTGGAAATCTCTGAGAACGCTTACGGAGCTGAGCATCCTCGGGTAGCCCGTGAACTTGATGCACTTGCAACCTTATACCAAAAGCAGAACAAGTAAGCTTAACTACACCGGTATTTGTATGTGGAGGTGCCCAAAAATAACAGCAAAGATTTTCCTCCTGAAGCAATGTTTCATTGGTTCTGTTTTAGAGTTTCTTAAGTTCCCATGCAACCATGAGCATCCCCTCTGTATTCCTGTAGCAAGCCACCCAGTAGGGGCCAACAGCTGTTTTTCATTTAACAACAAAGCATTGTCTGGCCCTAAGCATCTTGAATATTTTTATCTTTGACAAAAAGTATGATTTCTCCCCCCAAGATTCTTAAATTCTCCTCAAATTTATGCAATCCAGTAATTTAGAAGCTTTCCAGAATACTCATCGATGCTACATTTGGCATTCTTCTAACACTATAATTGTTTTCAGATATGAACAAGCTGAGCAACTGAGGAAAAAGTCCTTCAGAATACGCCAAAAAGCAGCAAGGAGGAAAGGCAGCCTGGTAAGGAGATGTTTGATACTTATAGTACAGGGCATGTTGTGGCTCTGCAGAATGGATGGTAAAGTGCCCCTGCAGAGCTGACAAAGCTCCAGGGCTTTGGATAATTGAGGGCATAGGTAGTGGAGTAGCCCAGCAGCAGCTTTTTTAACTGCCCTTTCATCTCTGCTGTGAGTGGAGATGCATCAGTTCTACTGGTATGGAGTTGGGAGGGGTGGAAAAGAAAGAAGTGGGTATGTACATTTTGGGTGTGCAGAATTACTGCTGATAGAGTTGGCTGTTGAACTGGCAGTGGAATAAGGTGTTCTCTAGAGGGGCTGAGGCATGTATCCTAATAGGATGAACAGAGTGTTTTACTGCAGTGAATAATCCAAGCAATAATTTTAGGTGCCATGCTAAGTTTTTCCCCATTTTGTCTTCTGTGTTTTTCAGCTACAGAGTTCCTCTTGCCATTCTTGAGCTAAGGCTTTGTTTGTCATGCAGTGCTTGTACTAGTAACTTCAGAGCTCTAAGTTGTACCTCTAATAAAAATAGTGAAGGGCCATAAGAGTGTTGCTATTTCCGCGGTGCTTAAGTAGAAATGAATTTGGATCATGGAGATTTTGTCCATTTCTGTAAGGAGTTCTGCTGCACAAATCTTTCTGTTAAGACTGCAAAGATAGAGAATAGGTGGAGCGTGTAACAGTGGCTCCACTTTTTACTTGTAATTCACTTTGCATGTAAGCATTAGCTTGGCAACCCATTTTACCATGATCCATGGAACATTTTACAATGATCCAGCCTGGAGTAATAGTTAATGTGTATTTGTAAATGGCATTTTAGGATAGGAGATTAAATTGGTTTCGAGTATAGAAACCTAAGAATTTGATCTGAATTGATTATTTGAACTGTGGAGTTTAAGCAGATCAGCGTGTGTGATACAAGACAAAGCACAGTAACTTTAAAATCCTGGAAGCACTTTGGGTGAAATTCCCTGTTAGATTGTAAATAAGCAAATGTTTATGTGCCAGTCAGCTTGAAAACAGAACTCAGGTAGGATTATTGCGCTCCTTTGGTACCAAACTAAATCTTTTGATGTTCTGTCTTTAGCTGTACTTTCAAAGTAATGGGGATTGGCTTATAGTACCTTGTGCTTTGCCATAGTGTGGCTTTGCTCTCCTGCGCCAAAGAGCCCTGCAATTGGAAGAGCTCACCTTAGGCAAGGATACACCAGATAATGCTCGAACCCTCAATGAGCTTGGAGTCCTCTACTACTTGCAGAATAATCTGGAGTAAGTGTTATTAATTGTGATGCATCCACTGAGTGTCCCTATAGATGTAAACGGAGGTAAAGCATTGAGAACTAGCACTAAATGTGAACGCATGATCAAATATGATGTTGTCCCTGATTCATTCTATTGAGGTTTGTTTGCTGTGAAATTCACTCATCATTTCTAGGGTTGATGCTGTTAGCATGTGAGTATTTACTAAGTCAGTGCATTTCCTGCATTCAGAATTGCTGGTCCATGGTTTAAGTTCACTATCTTTCATTGCACATATCAGTTCTTTCTTGATATTTGTGCCTCCTCTACTCAGCTTTTCTGTTTTGTGACCCTCCTTTGTACTGTTCGTATGTGAATGGCAGGATTGTTCTGTAAAATACACTCAAAATATCAGTATTAGTAGAAATCATGAGTAAATATTCACTGTGCTTGGAATCCTTAGGCCTTTACCCTGCTGGCCTTTTTAAGGGTGAAAGAGGACAGAGCAGCACAAAGGTGTTCTAAGAGCAGATAAACAGGGGTGTTGAAGGGGAATGAAAGGTGCAGAACAGTTCTGATTGCATGGCAAGAAGCCACTCTTCACATCAGCTTCTTCAGGCCGCATAGTAGTCTAAAAGTATGTGTTGTGAGGGAGTTGTAAAGTCATGTTAAATGTTTTCAGAGGAAAAGGAGAGTGCACAGCAAAAAAAGCACAGAGTAAGTTCTGTAAGTATATTACATTCTTCCTATGCCTGATGTTTATGTCACAGTAGTTGCTGGGGAGCTGCAGAAATACATTGTAATTTAGGATGTGCACATGGAATCTCTGTTAAATGCAGAGATTATAAATATTTAATAATTATATATAATAATTACATAATTCTATATAATTATATCTTATGTATAAAATACATAATTATATATATTTCATTATTATATATTTTATACATAATATATAATTATATAATACATCATGATATATGATTACAATAAATAATTATATAGATATATATTATAAAGTTATATAAAATTTATATAATTTTACATTATATATAATTATAAAAATATTATATATAGTAATTATAAAGTTATAACTTCTTTATGGTGAAGCAGTTGATTTTTAACAGTATTGGAAATGTGGGGTTTTCCATCAGTTTTCCCTCATGAAGTCATGCTGAAGTGACTGCTAATAGAGGAGTGACACCTATCTAATGTCATACAAGATCATTTTATATTCCTCATTATTCATATGTAGTTCCTGTCTGACACAACCAAACTTCTAGAGTAACTGTATCTCCACTATTTCATAGGTGAGCAAAAGGATAAACTTTGTGCTAGTGAAGCTTGAAGTCATTGTTTTAACTGGGTATTGTTTCTCCATTCAGAATCAGCAAGTCCGAGATTGAATTTTTTGATCATTTGATGCAGTTAGAATGAAATCAATGACAGAAGGGATTGTCACTTCAGTCGTGTATGTTAGATCACATCATCCCCCAGCCCCTGCGTAGAGTGAAGACCTTCTGACATTTCTCTGAGATCTCCAGAACTGAACCTACAGTTCTGTGTATAAATGACTTTTTTTTCCCCTGTAATGTGAAATGGATTTTTTCCCATTTCCTAAGCTGACCTCTTGGGAATGGTGTCACACAGTATGTCAGGATGACAAACTGCCTGTTTGTGGATGCTGCCGTTGTTACGTGGGGATCACACGTTGCTCCTGACAGAGGTGCTGTAAATCCATAGTGGAATAGTAGTACTACACTAGTGAGACAAAGTATACCCTTTTGATAGGGCAATGCTTGAATGGTTGCATTACAGAGTCTTTTTCTACTTTGTCACTTCTAGACAGCTTCTTCTATGAGAAGCTAGCTCGACACACATAAAATCCCGTTCCAGTCTCTGTCAGCTTGGTGTGAAAACTGTCTGTTCAGCCCTATAATGTGGTTTATGTTCTTTAAAGTCCCTTGAAAAATATGTGTTCTGGACCTTTACCTCATACCTCACTATTGTTTTATCCATGGAAGTACTTGACTACTGTGCCCAGAAGCCAGTAGACTGTTTTGAACAAGGAACGGTTACTTGCGTAGCTGAAGAGGTAGGTTGAATTAAAGAGCACCCATGAGTTAGGGTAATGTTTGCTGAAATGGGCTAGACTGGCTTTTCAGCCCTTATAACACTGGGGATACAGGATTGCACGGGAATATATTAACCAGCTTGCTGCCTACATCCTAGACACAGCAGGTCTCTGCTCTGGTGTTTGCTTATTCTGAGGAGAGTCCGCTCTCCGGTGCCAGTGTCTGTGCAGTTTCCAAGGCTGAGTTTGTTCTGTTTCAAACAGCCACTTCAGCCTGTACGGCTGTTCCCAGCTTTCAGGTAACTGCTGACTGAGTGAATGTGTTCTGCAGGACAGCAGAGCTCTTCCTGAAGCGCTCCTTGGAAATGAGAGAGAGAGTCCTGGGGCCCGACCACCCCGACTGCGCGCAGTCCTTGAACAACCTGGCAGCCTTGTACAATGAGAAGAAGCACTATGACAAGGCAGAGGAACTCTATGAGAAAGCTTTAGACATCAGGAGGAGAGCACTGGCTCCAGATCATCCCTCTTTAGCTTATACTGTGAAACACCTGGCAGTGCTGTACAAAAAGATGGTAAGCACAAGCCTGTTACCTTTTCTTACCACCTTGCATTGTTGGTCTTCAATCCAGAGGGAGTGGGGCATTGGAATATTGTCAGCTGTTGGTGATCCACACCAAGAAAAGATGCATAAAGATGTGGTCAAGTGGCCTTGGTGTGTTTCCAAAAGGCCCACTAGCTTTCTCAAAACACATTTATTAAATACATACTTATTCCAGATGAGTTACTGAGCATCTTCAAACTGGTGATGCTTTGAAAACATAAGGAGAAAATATGAATTTTGCAATTCCAGTGATCCATTTCCCACCATAACAGTGGAAGTCTGCAATATTTAATTGCTATTGACTATGAGAATTCACATTCTAAGAACAGAAGCCTAAGCATACTTGTGAAGTCTAGCCAGTTAATATGTGAGCAGATTGGAATTTGGAGGAAAACAGATTTGCTGGAAAAATAATCTCCAATAAAACTAGCTGGAATATAAGAGAGGTATTTTAGATAAACCAAAGTCAAGAAGCCAATGCCTCAATATGGCAAATGGGAAGCAACAGGTACTTGAAATGGCATCAGACACTGTGGCTGTTCCAGGGAAGATTGTGTGAACACCACTTCAGTACGTGGAAAACTGCCCAAAAGTTAAGGCAGCTCCATTCCCATTCCCATGTCACCAGTAAAATGCAGGCCCTTCAGGACAAAAAATAAGCTCTGCTCTCATCTGTGCCAGGATGAGGAAATACAAATGGACACACTTGTGGAGAAAACATACATTCTAAAAGAGAGATAGGCATAGCTGAGAAACACATCACCTGGGAGCTGAATGTGCTCAGTGTTGGGGAAAATTGGGTCCTAATCAATATTCATGATAAAGAATCTGTGCAGAATATAACTATGACTTAACCAGAATTAAACCCTTATTCTGGAAACAGCTACATCTTCTCCAGGGCTTTTTGTTTCAAATAGATTTTACTGTTGCTGTTTTGACACAAAAGAACTGAATCATTTCCACCCCTGTTGTTTCTAGGGAAAACTTGACAAGGCTGTTCCTCTGTACGAACTAGCAGTTGAAATCCGACAGAAGTCATTTGGCCCAAAACACCCCAGTGTGGCAACTGCCTTGGTCAATCTGGCTGTCCTGTACTGTCAGATGGTAAGTGCTTCTTGTCTTACATGTTTATTATGCCTGTCATAGGTTGTATAAGAGTAGGACTAGAGCACAACATTTCCGGTGACGGGGTTGTCACACTATGGGGAAACACAGCTTCACTGCTGAGTCAGAGGGAAACACAACCCTTTGAATCATAGACTCATAGAACGGTTTGGGTTGAAAAGGACCTTAAGATCATCCAATTCCAACCCCCTGCCATGGGCAGAGACACCTCACACTAGACCATGTCACCCAAGGCTCTGTCCAACCTGGGCTTGCAGTGTCTGAAGGGGCCTACAACGATGCTGGAGAGGGACTCTTCATCAGGGACTGTAGTGATAGGACAAGGGGTGATGGGTTCAAACTGAAACAGGGGAAGTTCAGGTTAGATCTAAAGAAGTTTTTCCCTGTGAGGGTGGTGAGGCCCTGGCACAGGGTGCCCAGAGAAGTGATAAATGCTCCAAGAGAAGTGATAAATGCTCCATCCTTGACAGTATTTAAGGCCAGGTTGGCCAGAGTCTTTGGTGAGATGGTTTAGTGTGAGGTGTCCCTGGCCATGGCAAGGGGTTGGAACTGGATGATCTTAAGGTCTTTTCCAACCCAAACCATTCTATGATTCTATGTATAAGAAAATCTGAGAAGGCTGTAGACTTCCTAGTTTACAGCTAATATGAAATTCAAAAGAGTTGCAATCAATTTGATAAAAACAAATCAATTTACCACATTCCTCACTTAGCATCAGTAGGAGTGAGCTGTTGATTTTTTTCTCTATTTCTGCAATATGCATATGTGATTTTAAACAGGGATTAAAGTTGTCTCAGGTAAAATTAAAGAGCATTTGGTAACTCAAAGCTTTCAGGATTGAGATCTTTCAAAACTGCCCAGAAGCCCAGACCCCAATTATTACAATATTGGGGGTGGAATTGCATTTGCAAGGGCAAACCAATTGCTCTGACAATCTCAATTACCATCCTCATCTGTCAACAAACACCTTTCTGGTTAATTATGCATGACTTTGCATCTAGGATGTGTTGATATTCTGTTGGCAAAGGAATTACAAGTGTAACATACATCTGTAACAAACAACTCTTTCCTACCCAAAGAAAAAGCAGATTGAAGCTTTACCTCTCTATGAGCGGGCGCTAAAGATTTATGAAGACAGCTTTGGGCACATGCATCCTCGTGTGGGGGAAACTCTGAAGAACTTGGCTGTGCTTAGGTAAGATTATATGGTTTAGCCCTATAAAAGCAAATTACTATAACAATTACTGGATGAAAGAAAACATCCTGGACTTGTGTACTTAATAGGCAAGTGGGGAGCTTTAAGCATGCTTTGGTGACAGCATGGTGTGCATTGCAGTTTAAACGAAACGAGAGACCTGTTTTATTTGCTTGTTTCAACTTTGTTTTACTCTTCTCCAAAGCTATGAAGGGGGAGACTTTGAGAAGGCAGCGGAACTGTACAAGAGAGCTATGGAAATAAAAGAAGCAGAGACTTTGTTGATAGGTGGAAAAGCAACTTCTCGACACTCATCGAGTGGAGATACATTCAGCTTAAAAAGTGCATTATCACCCAGTATTTTCCTGGAACATGGACAAAGGTGATACAAACCTGCTCCAAGGAAAGGCAGGCTCTGTTGCTATTTTAAAGCAGACATGAAATGACTATCTATTTTTCCTGAGATAATGTACTATTTTGGGACCGACCCCTATCTTCATGAAAGACAGGGAAACAAATGTTGAAGCTTGAAATCCTTCCATGTTAACTTTGCAGGCTGCATGGTACAAAGTGAGCTTCTTTCAATGTATATGAAAGAATATATGAAGATATGTACATTAGTTACTAGCTAAAGTCAGAGCTGCTGCTAAACCCATGTATTGGTTACCTCTTAGCCTAAGTGCCAGGATTAGAATGAGTTCAGTGTAACCTATTGTATATACTCTATGGAGTAATTCTTATTTCTGTGTTGGAAGGGCTTGGCTTGTAGGATTTGTGTATTTCTGGTTTTCATCCATCCTTCCTGCCTTTTTAGAAGCTTTTAAAGGTGTTTCTAAAAGGAGTAATTTTGAATAAGTCAAAAGCTCCACCCAGAATACCTGCAGGATGGCTTCAGCTTGAAGTAGACTTACATTCAAGGGACTTGTGCAAAAATAATTAGTTTCCTTGAGGAGCTAATACCTAAATATACCCTCATATACCCTAAATACACCCTCACCTACAACTAAAGCTGTTTTCAGATTCAACTGTGTCCAGTAAAAATACTTGCAGTAAGGAACCAGAATGATGATGATGATGACCCGATTCCCTGTTGTTAGCCCTTTAGCAATACTTCTGCTATTTAATCTCATAGAATCCCTTAAAACACAACAATATTTGTATTAGCTGGGAAAGCCTAGTAATGCAAACTAGTTTTCCATCAGATAAAAAGATGCTAATCAAATCTACCTGCTTGCTGTATTTCGTGATACTCTGGTCAGCTGGAAGAATCATTCTGAAGTCTGTTCATTCCAATTCAATCATAGAATCCCAGATTGGTTTGGGTTGGAAGGGTTCTTACAGCTCATAGGCAGAGACACCTTCCACTAAGGTGCCCAAGGCTCTGTCCAACCTGGCCTTGAACACTGCCAGGGATGGGGCAGCCACAGCTTCTCTGGGCACCCTGTGCCAGCGCCTCAGCACCCTCAAAGGGAAGAACTTCTGCCTTAGATCTAACCTGAACTTCCCCTGTTTCAGTTTGAACCCATCACCCCTTGTCCTATCGCTGCAGTCCCTGATGAAGAGTCCCTCTCCAGCATCAATCCATGAATCAATTTAAATAAATACTAAAAAACCACATTTTTATTAAGTGAAAAACTGAAACTTCACTATAATGTTTTAGTGGCAACTGATGTAAAGATTTACTTGATCTAATTTTGACTGAAAAATGCAAGTGGCCATCACCATCAGAATGGCACTTCCCTGCCACAGTATTTTCTCTCTTTTTAGAGCAGAGTTAAATATAACCTATTTCAGCCCTTGTTCTGGAATTTAACATTTTGGTAGGGGTGTAACTTAGCAGAGGAAACAATATATAAACCCGATAGAACAAATACACAACCCAAATCTGATTCCAAAGGTTAAGATTTAGTTGGAAAAAAAAAACAAATAGCTCTTGAAGGTATTACAGTACAGCAGCAGGAGTTGACACTCTGTAATAGCTCTCTGGGTATCTCATTCTTAGTTCAGAAAATGGGGTTTTAATCAAAGCAGGAGTTTTTCTCCTCTGTTTCAGCCACCTTGAGAAGCTGTGGAAATTGGGAAGTTCTTTGCAGGATTGTTGCTAAAGAGAAGGAAAAGAGGAAAAGGTAAAAAAGCACACAAAAACCACCCCCCCAAACCCTCAACCTTTTCAGCTTGTGGGTGTTTCTGTTGCCTGCTCTGCTCAGAGCTGGGAGTTCCCTCCTCCAAAGCCAGTGTTGGGAATTAGCAGATGTCTGCTCAAGGTTGTCACCTCTGTTCTGATTTTAAAATGTCTAGTGGTGTATCTTGTTCTCCTAAATAGTTTTCCTCAGTGTTGTTATCTTAAATGAGAAGATATGACACTGGAGGTCTAGAAAGGATCAGACTTGCCCCATTCAGTGGTTTTCACTTCTGAACTGTCACACTTCTTCCCTTGAGTGACTTCTTTCGAACTCACTCACAGGCCGCAGGGTTGATTTTAGGAGAAAAAGCAGTCCCTAAAAAGTAGCAGATCCCTAAAAAGTAGCAGATCCCTAAAAAGTAGCAGATCCCAACCATCCATGCTCCACCAGCAAAGATAGTGAGGAAACAACAGGCTTCAGCTGTCAACCCAAAGGAAACCTTCTACAGGAAGTAAAACAGGACCATGAGTAATGGTGGAGGGTCTTGCAGGCTGCATGTTGGCCATGAGCTGATGCAGCTGTAGTCATAGTGCTCTTAAGACAGTTGTCCATGTATCTGCAGTTGTGCCTCATGGACATCAAAAAAGTAACTTGTGTTATCTGGTGTATGCCAAATGATACCTCTATGTAGAAAACAACAAAGAGCGTGACCAGTTTCAATGGAGATTTCATCATAGTCAGTATGAACATGTCAGTAACAGTCATGATACACTGTAAAAACAGAATGCTTCTTTTATCAGATTGCCAAATAAACAAAGCTGGGCTAAACCATTGCAAGATGCTTTGTTAGTTCATCATAAAAGAAGTCATAAATCTTCTTTCATGTTTTATAGTCAGAGGACATTATACTTGTAAATGTCTTTTTAACTTAAAATCCTTGAAACTGCTTTTTTCTTTGATGCTGTTTATTTTTAAGTCATTTTAACCACTGGCACATACAATCATCTTAATGCATTTTCTGATTAGTTCAAGTTCTTGTATACACAAGCTGAAAGTAGCAGGAGAACCACCCTGCACGCTCTGTAAGTGAGCATATGAAGTGTATTACTTTGCTCATAAAACTCTCCAGGAAGTAGAATGGTAAATGCTTGCATCTTGTAAAGGTGTCAGTCGTGTGTAGCAGTCGTGCGAGCAAATACTGAAGAGACAAGAATAACTGAGCTCTTGCAGAAGTGAGTCAACTGTTGGCCTCAGGATCTCCAGAGCCAGGCCTTACTTCAGTGCTCCCAACAGAAAGGTAAAGTCACAAAGGAATGCAAGTAACACTTAACATGCGATTTACACCAAACTAGTTGGACTTAGTGACACAGATTCGAGCATGTACCTTGTTAATGATCTCATCATCCTATTTCCCATCCCTATTTACAGTTCATTTTGAAAATCCGCTTGCTCCAGAACTGGAATCAATCCAAAACCCCACTTCCATTCTATAAGATAATGCACCACAGCCAAAACCTCCCTCACCACCTGCATGAGTGATTTTTATGTATATAAAGATCGTGAAGTTTATAAGCATTGCTTAGAAATCAAACCGTTTTAAACTGAGTACCAGAAGCACATGCCCAGCATTGCTCTCTCTTTACATGTTGGTTGGATACTACTACCATTAATTACTACCTGGTTCTGTGCTGGCTGCATCACGCTGTGGAAAGGTAGTTTCTGAAGAGCCCAAGGTGGAAATATTTGTATTATAATGCAATGGATGTTCTTCTAAATCTCAATAATGATCAAATTCTGGATCAGATGCCCCCAGTAGCTCACATAGTTGCAGTGGATACTTCCAGTTGTGCAGGGCACTGTCACTGCAGGATGTACATTTACAGGTCAGTTTAACAGGTGACAGGTTAAAGGTACTATGACTGTACTAATGTTATTTACAGGACAAATGCAATAGCTCAGCTACTCCACTGAAGATACTTGCAACACTAAATGGAGTTTACAGCATCTAATTTTAGAAGCTTTCCTATGCAAACACAGATGAAGTATATTCCTTAATATAACCCATATAATGGGGATGGATCAGAATTCCAGCTGAAATTTAAATAAGCAACAAAAATACTGAGATTTTCAAAGAGATAGACAACATCTCCTGTTCTCTCCAGTGGTGCTGGTAATTCTTCAGATTGTGTCACAAAAAACATCTGCCAGCTGATGTAGTGGCACTGTTAATACCCAGTTTGCTAGTATAATTACTACTAACTAGAGACTTTGCCTTGTTGCAACATACTCAAAGCATTATCCCATACAAAACATACAGGCAGCTATTTAAGAACAAGCAGTAGTAAAACATTGATAAACCCAGGGTAGTTAAAAAAAATTCCATTCCAGCAGTATTTAAAGTAGATGAAAAGGCTGAAATGATCTACTCAGATCAACAGTCACAGCACAATCCATGCCAAGAATACAGAGACCAGTGAGCAACAGCCAAGTACAAGTGCCTGGAAAATCAGGAGCAGCAATCTGAGTGAGGTACTATCTGCCCTTGGCCTACCAGGTGCTCTCCAGCAGATCTCATCTTTCACTTGTCTTATATTGTGTTCTGTTCTCATCACATGATGGTGCATATATTGTGCTGTGCCTGCTTTTGTGAGTTTCATAGAAGCATGGAATGGTTTATGTTGGAAGGGACCTTAAGATCATCCAGTTCCAGCCCTCTGCCATGGGCAGGGACACCTTCCACTAGAGCAGGTTGCTCCAAGCCCCTGTGTCCAGCCTGGCCTTGAACACTGCCAGGGATGGGGCAGCCACAGCTTCTCTGGGCACCCTGTGCCAGTGCCTCAGCACCCTCACAGGGAAGAACTTCTGCCTTAGTTTGTCCATCTCTTTTTATTTCCTACTGAACAGCTAGCTGCACACTAGGAGTGCTGAGAAATTAGAGTTTACAGTAGCACAATCCCTATGTACAACATAACCGCGTCTCCTGTAACAGTTCCATTTCATCAGAAACACAAAGGTAAGTTTCAGTGGAGGTAAAAAAAGGAGGAAAAAAAAGTGTGGTCTTCTTATAATCCACTGTCAACCCAAACTCCCCAGAGTTGTAGTTAATATTGCTACATGTTTCTCATTTTGGCCATGAGTTCTTCTAGGCTTTCTTCAGATTCTGCTACCGTTTCCTCAGTTATCAAATTCTCTTCCTATGAGAAACGGGAAGAAAAAGTTGGTGTCACAAGTAGCAAACAAAAAGCCCCCCACAAATAAGCTTGATTTCTGAATTGCAACATTAGGCCTAAATCATTATCAGCTTACATTGTGAACTGTTCTGACAGGGAGTTAGAGTGTTCTGGCTGCAATGACACAGATTCTATGTTCCCCAGGTATACAAATTGCTCTTTGATTACACACAGCTTTTACAAGATAAATATGGTAAAAATCAATTAGTCACCAAAATATTAACTGAGAAATTCAGGTTTTCCTTTCCAAACACATTCATTCCTGTCACCTTGTAACTACAGTCACACTGACATCCATCCTTAAGCATCTTCTATAGAAGCACAAACCTGGACTGCAGAAGGCACTACTGGGATGAACTGAGGTACAGCTACACTGTGACTGTTCCAGATGGATTTTTAGTGTAGGTTTAAAGGGTAACCAAACTCGCTGCTTATTAGGAATGTAATCTACAACACATTCCAAAACTCCATGCAGAATAAATACATTACCTTGTTCGGGATAGTGTATGCTACAGTAATGCCCTCGGGAAGCTCAGGAACCGGGCCAGATGCAGCCTTCAGCTCCTCTTCTGAAGTTTCTGATACTAATTCAATGCCTTTGCATTAAAACGAATTGAGAACTCCATTACAAGTTAGAAGAACAAGTTCTTTACGCACTAAGTAACCAAAATGAGAGGAAAACAGCAGAGACTCTCCCAAAAGAGAAAGAAAATTAAAAGCAGGAAGATCTTTGATTCCAGCTTCTCCATTCCATGATCAATACAAAATATTTTCCCTTGACAATGTATTAAAATCTATGGACAAGAATGGCACCTCTCCTATAGGACTTCCTTCTCCTTACCATTTAAATCTTACTGTGAGGGCACTTCTCCCAATGGTGAGCTAAGATTATTTTCTATATCATGTAATAAACAGAAGATACATATCTTATCTTGAAACGGCTATATAAAACACACCATTCCTTAAGGCAATTCCTTCTAACTTAAAGCCCTGAGAGGAACATAAAGATCCAGGGGATGGTTCAGCACAGTGGGTAGGGAATGACAAAAGCTCTTGAGTTACGTATTTAGTTACACAGTGAGTAAATCTTCTCACACCTTTTATATCTTCAGACCATCTCCTGAGAAAGTTTCTTATTCCAACAGCTGTTGCATTTTGAGGCTAAAACCTGCACATTACACTAAAAATACATCACTGAGTTGTGGTAACATTACTGTCAAACCCTGTGAAAAGCCAGCAGGAGCTACACAGTGTAAGTCACAAAAGCTGGGAACATAAGGAGTCCATGTACCCTGCAGTGTGTTACCCAAACCAAAGCCTTTAACTGAATCTCCATACTGGGAACGTCGTTGAGTCTCCCTCTGAATACGTACCCCAGTCATTGTCTTCATGTACTATTTCCTCTTGCTGTTCAACTACTTCTTCTTTTGGTTGTGCAGCTGCTTTTTTCTGAAGGAAAACCACAAAAAGATAAACACTATAATGTATGTAATAGTCCCACAACAGCAAGAAAGAGCTTATCTAATGTTGACACTCCTTTGAATATTTAAGGTATGCAGTCACTATTCAGAACTTCGTAGGGCATAAAAAGGCAGAATACCTGCAAGGGAAAAACCCAAACCCATTAACACTCAAACCCATGACTGCCAGAAAGGTTGAGTAATCACTGTAGAAGAAAATACTATTTAACTGAATGTCAATTCTGCTCCCCTTTGCTTTGAGATAATGCCAAGTACTGTGTTTTTAGGAACACATCCAACCATCTGAAGACAACACTGCTGAAAACTGGAGTAGCAATGTAAGTTTTCTTCTGCTACAGATCTGTAGCTTGTTTTGTTCTTAAGACTTTAAGAGAGGAGCAAAACCAAACCAAAACCAGCAAATCTTTTTTACCTTATAATTTTCTTGCTGTTTTCTGCAATTTTGGTCACTACATTGTGGGTTTGGCTTCATAGACATAGTTGGAAAGAAATCCTGCATCGCGTTGTAACCGAGATAGTAACTCACAGTACCAAAGTTTAACAGGTACCTAGAAACACAGAGAAAGCAGGTCCTTATGTACAGATTCGTTCGCTCAAGGGATCCTTTTTCCTCAAAGAACTTTTAGAATATACTTTCATACTAATGCAGTTGTAAGGAGCTACTGTAATTGTCCTGAAACAAGCTGTAGTCACCTAACAGTGGGATAACTGCATCAACATAGAACTCTTATAGAGGCTTTTGTGGTGTAAGTGTGAGAACAGGTCAGCTACAGTCTCACAGAAAATAGGTTTAGAGTAGCATATGAGAAGTTTTCTCCTCTGCCTTAATCCACTGCTTGAAATGCTCAGTTGTCCTGTATTACAATGAGAGAGTTTTCAGCAGCTAATCAGAACCAGCTTAATCATCTTTACTGGAGGGTCAGAGCTACAATGGAAATAAACATACAAACCTTGACACACTTGAGAGGTGGGCAGTGCCAACCTCTCAACCCAGCCAAGTGCAAGGTCCTACACCTGGGTCGCAGCAATCCCAGGCACAGCTACAGGTTGGGCAGAGAAGAGATTCAGAGCAGCCTGAGGAGAAGGACTTGGGGGTGTTGGCTGATAAGAAACTGAACATGAGCAGCTTCAGTGTGCGCTTGAGCCCAGAATCCCCCTGTGTGCTGGGCTGCATCAAAAGCAGCGTGAGCAGCAGGTTGAGGGAGGTGATCCTGCCCCTCTGCTCTGCTCTTGTGAGACACCTCACACTGGACCAGCTTGCTCAAAAAAACAGACCCATCATCATGACATCTCCCCTCAGGTTTCTTTCTCTCATTGTGCTGAACACGGAATAGCAACAACTCGGTCACTTACTTGAGAACATTTTGTACAAGAATTCCTGCCACAACGCCCATAGTTGTAGGGAGACTGGCTGCACAAACTCCTTCCCGTTTGAGTGTTTTCTCATCAATATTTGCAGCAACTACGAGTGGAGGAGCACACTGAGGGCACAGAAATAAAGTTTTAAGAGAAGTACTACCCCCACCCCAGATGACACAAGATTTTAAGCTACCCCTTCAGCTGTGCCAGGATCACATTCCCTAGCCAGCTCATCTTCACATTCCCAGCCCTGCTTAAGAGCCAAACAAGCAATTCAGCAGAGCAATGCATACCGCAAAACACGCGGATTCCCCAGGTATGATCAGCTGGATATGTCCTGACACTGCGTTTTCACTCACTCCAGATTCCATCCAGATTTGTCCAAGTTCATTGCAGGCCTTAAAAACACAGAAACACCAAAACAAAACCACACACAGTGTAAATTGAGAGGGGTTAAAAACATGGATCTTCCTGCCTTAAGACAAAAAGGCTATAATCAGGAAAAAATGTAGAACAGAAATTACTCAGCTGAGTCAAAGGACAACTTAAAGTTGTCCTCAGGATGGACATGTCCTTTGTATGGCCATGTATATCCTTTGTGCTTTCCTAAGGACCTGACATTTTTGAACAACTACAGGCATTAGTGATCCAGTCACCAGCACACTGCAGAATCTCATTGCACAAACTACTATTATACGGCGTATCTGTGGACCTTCAGTGCACGTAATTTATGGATCATGTTAGCCAAAGGATAACAGAAAACATGCACTTGGCATATACCCTATGTTGCCTGCTACTATAAACACAATCTGACTAGGTACACAGCCTCAAGGAATTTTATATACAAGTATACAACAAGTCACATGAAGTATACAATGAGCTATACACAGTCTAAAGAGCTTGAAAGCTTTAACATCCCAGGCTTTGATCATACCTTTATATAAACAGAGTAATTTGGAAAGATGGAGAGGGCTTACAACACATAACTTTTGCTAACCATTAGCTGCTAGAAACTTAAAGGTCTACAGTTATATTCATGCATGTGTTTTATGAGAATGGGGTAAAACCTCAGATTCTGCTTCCTTAAACCAAGGAGGAAATTTCTTAGAACATTTTGATAAGTCCCTGTCTTTTCTCTAGTCCCCATACTTCCTAACATTATTTATAGGAGAAAACAGACTTCCACAAGCTCATGCCCTCGATGGCCTTACCGTGTTAATTGCCATACGAGCTTCAAAGTTGTCCACGCAGCTCAGAACAAGATCCACAGGCTTCCCCTCCTCTAGTGCCCCGTTACTGAAATAAGCACCAGAAGTTTGTGTGAAACTGCTGGCAGAACAAAATGTCAGTGTGGCAATCCACATGGTGCTTTGGAGCACCTGGGAAGTGTGTATCTAACAAAACCTGTGCAAATAAGTACACACAAGGCCACACTGGACAGAGCCTTGGGTGACATGGTCTAGTGTGAGGTGTCCCTGCCCATGGCAGGGGGTTGGAACTGGATGATCTTACGGTCCTTTCCAACCCAAACCATTCTGTGATTCTATGAAATAAGGCCAACTCCAAAGAAAAGGTCTAGGTAGGAATGTCTCCACATATATATATATATATTTCCCACTGGTTTTCAATTGGAAGCCATTAAATCAAACCCCCCCACCCAATAAAAGTCAGGCTGTACAGAAAGAACCACAAATCAGCAGAAGTTACCAAGATGCTTTTGTTAAGAGATTTTACCTTATTCTATCCATGAAGTGCTCAAAGTTGTCCAGTGTTGTGATGTTGTAGTTATGTACTTCAAACTGAACATCAGGATTAATATTCCTTATGGAGGAAATAATATGAGCCAATATCAGTAAATATGATAACTTGCATTCTACCCCCTAACTTCACAAGTGTTCCTACAGTGTTAAGCTTCCAGTCTGACATTTAGAATATATTTGTATTTATCAATAATTCACAGATTAGGAAAGCCCCACAACACTGAAGTGGCATAGTTTATACCAAACTTCTGAGCAGAATTAGCCATACTTAAAAACATTAAGGTTTTGGTCAGTATAAAAATTGTCCATAAAGTACCAACCATTCTCACAACTATTTTATACTCACATTTCCAAATGAGATCAGGCTACTTTGCAAGTGATTAAGAGTGAAACATCAGTCTTCTGGAGCAGTATCCTGGGTAAATACATTTTGATACCCACTTCTCTAAGTCATACCTCAAAGTATGCTCTGCTGCTTGCACTTTACTTAATCCAGCTTGATGAGGTTGGAAGAAGAGTCTGTTCATGTTTGCCAGTTCCACTTTGTCATAATCAAACAGAAGCAGCTACAATAAAGATTGGAGATTCACTTATGATAACACAAAGACTGTGCAACCAGAGCATCATGGCAAGGCATTTTATACAACAAAACTCACTCTAAAACCAACAACAAAACCATCCCAAACCAAACAACCCCCACTTCCACAGTTCCATTCAGTTCCCATATAAAAGCTCCTAAGATTGTATGTGAAAAACTGAATTCTAAGTACTATTCAACAGGAACTGACCAAGTCATGAAAACCACTCTTAAAAACCAATCTGTCCATTTGATCTAAACTAGGAATATTCAACAGATTATCTACATGAACACTGTCATCTCTGTTACCACATTCCTACTTGCTGTTATGGCATTAACTAGGAACACATAGTTTCTTTTGCTTGTCCGGGCAAGTAGTTCTTCAAAATAATTCACTTAAAATACCTACATCATACACAGACATGTGGAGTATTATAAACTCTGAATCAACTGTCCAATGTCCTTTTCTGTGCCCAAGATGCTGGTCTTCAGGAAATGCTCCTTCACAGGAAGGGGGAATAAACTTTGCAATCAGAAATTGCATCACCTCTGTATTTAAGAAACTTCTTGAAGTTCCAAGAGTATATGGTCAGGATTTGCCTGGAAATACAAACATCTAAGCCATTTCCCAGATTCCTTCTTTAAGGAAAAAGCCTGTTTTTTAACTCTGCAGGTTCTTGATAAACACATCAAATTCCTTTCAATTGCTGCTAACTTTTTAGCTCCAAGTGCCACATGACAAACTAATATATGTGACAAAAATACCAGTTCTACATCTACCATATTTAAACTTCAGGTCTATCAACTTGCTCTCATAAAACTTTAGCATCTATGTCAGTTACCCCCTCCTTTATTTTGTTTTCCTTCTGCAATAATCCATTACAAAGTTTAGATAGATGGGCTGATATAGAATCACAAAATGGTCTGGGTTGAAAAGGACCTTAAGATCATCCAGTTCCAACCCCCTGCCATGGGTAGGGACATCTTCCATTAGACAAGGTTGCTCAAAGCCACATCCAACCTGGCCTTGAACACTGCCAGGGACAGAGCACTCACACTGGAATATCAGAGCAGGAAGACAAGCATCCAAACAAAAATGATTCGCATGATTGAGGATTAAGCCCTAAGTAAATGTGATGTTTACACAAGTGCTGCTCTTGAATGCTTTCTTTACTACTCTTTTATTGCCTGAAATCAACTGAGTGAAATCAAATCTAGTTCTTTATGAAGACCACTGGTCCATCTACTGTAAAGAAGCAGAGGAAGAAAGCTCTCATTACCTTACCAATGCCACACCGTGTCAGCATTTCAGCAGTCACACTCCCAACTCCACCTACACCTACGACTGCTACCGTAAAGGTACGGATTTTCTGCAGAAAGAAACCAAAAGCACACCAGTTCATCAGAAGTGGTCCTCACAGGGGGGAAATGCAAGGCTGTTTCAATGCAGACAGAATCCTACCTCATAGTCTTTGACAATTCCCATTCTTTTTAACGCCATCAAGCGACTACGAAGAAAAAACAGTAACATTATATAGACAATGCTCTCTACAGTACTATAAGCAATTTTGCTTTTCAAGTACTTAAAATCCTTTTGCTTAAAGACAACCCCACCAAGCACTAAACTCAAGCCTGCTGTTTTCACTGTAGTTGTGATTGACAGCTAGATATAGCCTAAATGAGATAGTAGATGCTTTCCTATTACTCCTTCAACAGAATACTCAGCCTGCAGAAACTCCTCTACTTACTCAGCTGGTATGAGTAGCATCACTGAACTCCATAGCTATCTTTGTAAATGAATCCCTGATTTTCACATTGAAACTCTACACATTTTCCTGTAATGAACCACACAGCAGCAGCCCAGTGACGACTCTTCTTCTTTCTGATCAATTTAATTAGATTAACTCCAGCATCACATTAAAGGAAAATAAACTAAAAGCCAGAGGTTATGAGGATAACTGGAAGAATTTTGAAGTAATCCTTTGTCCTGCTATTGCATTTTTTCATTGAAAGCATCGAAGGAAGTACAAGAATCAACATGTATTAAAGCAATTCATCCTGAAAAAAATAATGCATCAGAATTCCAGAGCGCTGAGCATTAGAAGAGGTTGCAGATGCTCAAGACTTCTCAAATCCAAACTCTAAAATAGTTAAGTTAGAGGAATAAGACCTCATGCAATACCAACACCTGTCATGTTTAGTAGCAACTTAGCTGAAAAACCCAGTCTTCTCTCGCTCCCCCTGTTAAATCTGAGAGCTTCTCTCACCACAGGGCATCTGCCTTCACAGAACTGTCTGACCAGCCATAGAATGATTTGGTTTGGAAAAGGCCTTTAAGATCACCGCCTTCCAACCCCTTGCCATGGGCAAGGGTTGTCCCAAACATAAGGACATGGAGCTGTTGGAGCAAGTCCAGAGGAGGCCACAAGGATGATGAGGGGCTGGAGCACCTCCTGTATGGAGACAGGCTGAGAACATTGGGGCTGTTCAGCCTGGAGAAGAGAAGCTGCGTGGAGACCTCAGAGCAGCTTCCAGTGTCTGAAGGCGGCTACAAGGATGCTGGAGAGGGACTCTTCATCAGGGACTGTAGTGATAGGACAAGGGGTGATGGGTTCAAACTGAAACAGGGGAAGTTCAGGTTAGATCTAAGGCAGAAGTTCTTCCCTGTGAGGGTGCTGAGGCGCTGGCACAGGGTGCCCAGAGAAGCTGTGGCTGCCCCATCCCTAGCAGTGCTCGAGGCCAGGCCGGACACAGGGGCTTGGAGCAACCTGGTCAGTGTGAGGTGGTTGTGGCCCAAGTGCATGACCCTCAGACCCCCGCCCGCACGGGCCCACCTCCACACGCCTCTTCCCCTTCCCCAGCCCCACGGCCTCAGACCCCGCACCCCTCCCGCCTCCCCACGGCTCAGTCCGGGCGCCCTCCCATAGCCCGACCCCGCCGGCGCAGCCCGCCGCCCCCGGCCGCACCTGTAGGGGTTGGTGTCCGTCACCTCCGGGCTCATGGTCTCGATGCGGGCCCGCGGCTCCGCCCGCCCGCCCCTCTCCCGGGCCAGCTCGTCCTCCAGCTCCCGCACCCGCCGCTCCAGCCGCTCCAGCCGGCCCGGCTCCGCCATGGCAGCGACACGTCTGCCCGGCCGGCTGACGGAGCTTCCGGGAGCGGCAGCGAGCGCCGTCCCCCGACAGCGCCGGCGCCTCAGGAGCGTTCCCGCCTCGAGAGGGGCTCTTGGCGCCTCACAGAGGGCAGCGGGCGGCTGCGGCCATGGCGGAGGGCAGCTGCCAGCCGCGGCAGGAGCGACCTCCGGGGGGCCGCGTTCTTCCGAGAAGAAGCCGTCCGTATCCGAGAGCCGGTCCTGCACTTGTGCCACAACAGCCCCTGCACTGCTCCAGGGCTGGGGAGGAGCGGTTGGAAAGCTGCTCATGGAAAAGGCCCCGGGGGTGCTGATTGATGGAGCTGAACATGAGCAGCTGGTGCCCAGCCAGCCAGGAAGCCACCAGCATCCTGGCCTGTACCAGCACCAGTGTGGCAGCAGGGCCAGGGCAGGGATTGTGCCCCTGTGCTGGGCGCTGGTGAGGCTGCACCTCGAATCCTGTGTTCAGTTCTGGGCCCCTCACTGCAAGAGAGACATTGAGGTGCTGGAGGGGGGCCAGAGAAGGGCAATGGAGCTGGTGCAGGGCCTGGAGCACAAGTGTGATGGGGAAGGGCTGAGGGACCTGGGGGGTTCAGTGTGGAGAAGAGAAGGCTCAGGGGGGACCTGATCGCTGCCTACAACTGCCTGAGAGGAGGTTGTAGTGAGGTGGGGTCGGTCTCTGCTCCCAAGGAACAAGGGACAGGACAAGAGGAAATGGCCTCAAGCTGCACCAGGGCAGGTTTAGATGGAGCTGAGGAACAATTCCTTCCCCAGAGGGTGCTCAGGCATTGGACCAGGCTGCCCAGGGCAGGGCTGCAGTCACCGTCCCTGCAAGTGTTCACACAGCGTGGAGACGAGGCCTCAGTGCCATGGGTTAGTGGTGGCCTGGGCAGTGCTGGGAGCGGTTGGACTGGGTGAGCTTGAAGCTCTTTTCCAACCCGGTTGTTTCCATGACTCTATGGGCCCCTCGCTGGCCCGGCGCCGGCGCCCGCTTTCCTGACGGACCGAGCCGCCTCCCGTTGCCGGGGCGATGCCGGGCCAGGCCGGGCGGGGCGCAGCGGCGCGGAGGGCAGGCACAGAAGGTACGGCGGCGGCGCAGGGCGAGGATGGCGGCGGAACCGGGGACGGGTGAGGTGCGCCAGGAGCACCGCTTCGACCAGCGGGGCTTGGAGCGGTACCTGTGCAGCCACCTGCCCGGCTTCCCTCGGCAGCCCGCGGAGGCGCTCACTGTCAGGCAGTACAGGTAATCGGTGGGCTGCTCCCTGGCTGCTGACACGGGCCCTCTCCCGTGGGGCGCCATTCGGCGGGGAGCAGAGCGTAGGCCCGAAGCGTTATGCTGCGGGGCGCCCTGAGAGGCTGAGGCGTTGCCCGCTGCCCGGCAGGAAAGGTGGGCAGCGTTCAGGCCCTTTGCCCTGGGGAGAGCAGGCAGCGGCCATCGAGGTAACAGGGCTTCCCCTGGGCAGCGGGAGAAGTGGAAGTTCACAGTGGAGGCAAAGGGGACCTATGGCTCAGCGGGTGACAGTCTGCAGGCAGGAGACGGGAATGTCGGGGTAGGACAAGGGGAATGGTTTTAACCTGCCAGCGGGGAGACTGAGATGAGCTCTTAGGCAGAAGTTTTTCCCTGTGAGGGTGCTGAGGCGCTGGCACAGGGTGCCCAGAGAAGCTGTGGCTGCCCCATCCCTGGCAGTGTTCAAGGCCAGGTTGGACGCAGGAGCTTGGAGCAACCTGGTCTGGTGTGAGGTGTCCCTGCCCATGGCAGGGGGTTGGAACTGGAGGAGCTTTAAGGTCCCTTCCAACCCAAACCAGTCTGAGATTCTGATGATTCTATGATGTGTTGGGTGGACTTGCCACTGTCCTCAGAAGAGCATGTATGTGGCCCTTTATGGTGCACTCTGCTGCAAGTATACACGCGGTTGTTTTATTGCCTACTCATAAATCTCACTTTATGTGATTAATTGAACAGCAAATAATAATGTTCAGAAGCGCATACATGGCTTAAGAAATCAATTTTAAAAGCCTTCAGTTATGGCCAGGTAAACAAATCCACAAAAAGAACCTAACGATATTCTGAGATGCCCAGTAATGCCTGCAGGGCAAAGCATTGCACCGGCAAGGTGCTACCCCCAGGCTCTAGAGCTGCTGTTGCAGGGAACACCTAGCTCATTTTCGCTCAACAGATCAATGGTGTGACTTCAGATCGGGAGCAATTAGATGTTACATTATTCCAAAAGTATTAATTCCTTTGTAAACATGACTTCAGCTGCTTCACCTGCAGCTTTCACTAAGAACCAGTAAACAAGTTTTCATTGTCTTCTGATGCAAATATAGATCATTGGTTGTATCCTCAGCTACTTTAATCCTTCAATTGAGGAAACTGTAGAAGGGGCCTCAGGAGTAGCTGTTACTTAAATCTGCTAAAATACTGTCACTATGCTTCTACTACTTTCTTTGTCTTGTTACAGTTTGAAGCTTCAACTGATTTAAACCTCTTTTGTTCCAGGCAGTGTTTGTCTCTGCAGTATACTCCTTAAACTCTATTACAGACTATGCCCTGACTGCTTCAGAGAGAATGGAAGTATTGTGGGGAGCATGAGGGCAAAAGTTCACTTGATTTGGGTTTTCTGCTAGTTGTCTAATCTTTTATGGGACTAGGTCAGAATGCGTGTTAAAAATGATCTGGAAGGAGGAGAGGAAGGCAGGTGAGGATCAATAAGCTTGATTGGGATATGATGGACTAAGCCTTGTGAAGGGTTTGACTAGGTTGTCCTTGTCTTTTACACATGTATGTGATTGAAATGTGTAGTTTCTATGATTCCTTGTCACTGTAACATTCATTCTTTAAAATTTTACAGTTACTATAGGCAGTCCTTTAAGCGTAGCATAGGTATGTGATAATCAGGACAGCATACAGTGGGGTTTGGTACTAGAATCATCAGTTATTTGGAGAGCTTTCTCTGTACTTATGTTATTCAAAATACAGCTTGCCAGAGGACAAATACAGTTCTGGGCTAGTGTGAATTCTGCTTTGTTTGATTTCCCCCAAATCAGAAAGCTTTACAGTTAGTATCTACTGCATACCCTGAAACATTAATGATGTCTCTTTAGGGAGGAGAGGTAAATGCCATCTCCATTTCACAGGAGACCAAATTTTGTATCTGTGACCTCTCTGTAGTGCAAGAAGACATCTTCCTTATAGGCAGGAATAGAACCTCTGGCTTCTGAATTTGTAGGCTATCACTTGCATCCTTGTAAGACTATACTGGGGGAAAAAAAAAACAAAAACCAGACAAACCAAGCCAGCATACAACTCTTGAGAAGAGCCCTTTCCTCTGTCTGCCATTTTGTTCAGGCCAAGTCACAGTGCATTTTGCATCGTTTCTGTTGAAAGTTTGCAAAATGGTAAGTACTTGAATTTGTAAGTAACTATAATCTTTCTCTTTGTAGCTCAGGCCAGTCAAATCCAACCTTTTATCTTCAGAAGGGTGAAAAGGCTTATGTGCTCAGGAAGAAGCCCCATGGCCCCCTATTACCTAGAGCTCACAAGGTAAGGAACATACTTCATCAAGCTCCAGACACTTTGTATTGCTAAATCTGGTACATGGTGGTGTGGCACATGGTTGAATGTGTCCACAAATGCAGTGAATTGCTGGATCATTTACAGTTCTCTGTGCTATACTATACATGTCATCGAGGAGGATACACTGTTGTTCACAGATTTGTGTTTGGGAGCTTTTCATTGAACCTAAATTTCTGTGTCTTCTTCAGGTTGATAGAGAATATCGTGTGCAGAAAGCCTTATTTTCAGCTGGATTTCCAGTGCCTGAACCACTGTTTTATTGCAGTGATGTTTCTATCATTGGAACAGAGTTTTATGTAATGCAGCATGTGCAGGTTGGTCTTCTAATGTAAGGGATTTTTTTTTTTCTCTCTACTACAAACTGCTTTTAAATTCTCTAAAACTCTTCCTGTTAGAGCCTTGCCCAGCGTTTACTGCATTTTGTGATATAAACATAAGCAATCCTCTGGTATTTTAAGAAATGTTGGATACTGGAAATTCACACTGATTTCAGCTTCTTCAGGACTTATTTCCCACTTTGTTGAAGTTTTTAGCTCAGTATGTAACCTCTTGGTCTCGTTTAGAGCTCTTGGAAAGATGTCTTGAAATGAGGCAATATTGCTTCTGTGCAAAGCATCCACAAGGCAGAGTGAGAACAACCAAGGTATAAAGTTATACTGAACCTTGGGACATCCTGGTGCCTCTTTACTACTGAAGACAGGAATCTGCTTACAATCACCTTTTCTTGAAAACCAAGCAGGGTTCCAGCTCAAGCCCGAGTTTCAGAAGGAACATGGCATAGCTCTGTCTGTGGTCCATCACTCTAGGGGTTCTGTGGCAGAGTTGATTCTGTTTCTGCTAGGTTTTGGTGATTCTGATTTGAAGTCTGCTGTATCATCGCTTTGGTTTTTTATATACTGTGAGAGGAAGATTGGAACTCGGGCCTCTTCCCTTTTCACTGCATCCTTCTCTGTCATGTGGTTCACTGGGAAAATAGAAACACATTGAAGCCGTTGTGTGAACCAGTGAAACTGAGGAACTTAAAGAAGAGTCTGCTTTTTCTTTTCCAGTCTGTTACTGGAAGTGTTAAAGGAGAAAATGGAAGAACACACCCATGTTCTAAACATGTTAAACTGCTTCCCCTTCCCCTAGGGTCTTCATTAATAGTTTTTTTCTGGAATTTAGCTGTTAGAGACAACTGAGAAACCTTTCATTCCCCCCACCCCACCCCTCAGTACTTTAGTTTGAGGATATCTGGATTGAGTGCTCCAATTCAGACTTTCACTACTGAATGCACCTGTTGTTTTAGTTGCCTTCCAATAGACATACTAATGATCTGAGATTACTGTGAATCCATTCATATGTCCTGGGCAAGGAATAAAATAAGTGAGGAAGGCATTTTTGATTGCATAGGGAGTATTGGTTCCCTGCATTTGGTTTTGCTCCTGAAATGTAGAACTTTAACTTCTCTTTGTGAGATGTGTACATTCCACC